GTTCATAGGTGGACAGTGCATAGTTAGGAGCAAAATATTTCTTTAAAATTCTTTTTTAAGGATGCAAAATTCTTTCGATTACTTAATGATTCTCTAGTTACAGAAACATCTCCTATGGGCTTGTTATTTACGTCTGTTCATCCTGAAGTTAGTTCCATTATAGCCTTATAAATGAGTAAGCTCAAATATTTACTTGTATGTTACAGTGGGTTTTTTTTAAGATTTTATTTATTTATTTATTTGAGAGAGAAAGAGAGAGAGAGAGAAACAGCACGAGAGGGGAGAGGGTCAGAGGGAGAAGCAGGCTCCCTGCTGAGCCAGGAGCCTGATGTGGGACTCGATCCCAGGACTCCAGGATCATGACCTGAACCGAAGGCAGTCACTTAACCAACTGAGCCACCCAGGCGCCCCAGTGGTTTTTTTTTTTTAAGATTTTATTTATTTGACAGAGAGAGACACAGCAAGAGAGGGAACACAAGCAGGGGGAGTGGGAGAGGGAGAAGCAGGCTTCCCACAGAGCAGGAAGCCTGATGCGGGGCTCAATCCCAGAACCCTGGGATCATGACCTGAGCCGAAGGCAGATGCTTACCAACTGAGCCACCCAGGTGCCCCTGTGTTACAGTTTTTTTTTAAAACTGACCTACTTTTAAATATGAGATAGTTTAAGGAGATTGGCATTATTCTCTACATTGCTGTGGATAAATTATTTACTCAAACCGATGAACTAGCAATGACTATTTCGAAGACTGGTGTTTGGAAAAATTTCGTGAGCAGCTTTCTGACAGATTTAATATTGTGATACAAGGTTTAGTGTATTTCTTTAAAAAATTTATCCTATAATGAATTACCTGTTAATATGCAAAAAACCCCAGCACTAACTATAAAACAAACCACAGGTTTCCCCAGCAGTTGTAATTAAGTTGGCATTTAGTATTTTATGCTAGTTTTTCCACCTGCAAAGTAGGGGTTATATTTACCATTTAATATGGTTGAAACGAAGGTATGACAGTACCTGTGTTCTCTCTCAACGAGAAGTTACTAATATCATTGCGATCAGAGCCATTGCTCATGATGTGGGGCTGTGCTCTTCTCACCTCAGTGTGGAATCATTGACTGTTTCACTGTTCGTTATTATTTTCTTAAGTATTTATTGTCCTTCCTACCATCATAGTCTTGGGCATATAGCCTGTGCCCTGCAGGAGCTCATGGTTAGCAGTTGTGGGGTTGGGGGATAAAGAGGTGGTCACTGTAATAGGTGAGGGCGTTATTATAGAAGCATCTTGGAGAGCCATCTAGTTCTGAACGGTGTGTGAGGGGAGGGCAGGAGGTTGGGGAGTCTTTCCAGGCGAGCACTAAGAGATGACCTTAGGAGTGGGAGGGACAATTCTGGGACAGGGCTCCAAGTCTGTGAAAGAACAGAGCTTATTCAGAGAAGGCAAGGAAGTCAGTGTAACAGATCAGGGCGAGGGAGGAGGAAGGGCATGGGGTCCAGAGTTGAATAATGCAAATAACCATTCCTTTTTTTATTTTATTTTAAAAGCATTTTAGATGGCACCTTCTCAAATCAGGACCCATTTCGATCATTTCTATACTGAGTGGTGTTTTATCATTCTTACCACCATTTGGACATTTCCACTCCTTTTTTTTTTTTTTTCTCTCCCCAAAGTTCCATTAGCTCACTGGATCTGGCCTTGTATGTCCAGAATGAAGCACATTAAGGAGATTTATAGGCAGTTAATTGGCTGTCTCTTTCTCACTTACCCTTTTATGTTTAAACGTACATTTTGTTGTTTCTAAATGTTACATTATTGTAAAGTACAGCATTCACAGAAGATAATTTAGGAGGTTTTTTTGGTAAATTACCTGTAAGATGAAAAGATAATTCCCAAACTTAATGAAAAAGCAGTTAATTTCCTGAGGCTTAGATTCAGGAAATCTTACTAAGAGCAATTAACATAGGTTTAAAAAAGTAGTTGAAGTCATTATTTATTCTTTTAGATTGTTGTTTACAATTTGTGCAATATTTAAATTGATATGCCCTCAAAATGACCCCAAATGATTTGTGCCTGTATAATTACATTTCATATTTTATTGTCGGTTTTGTAATACATATTTATACATCTAAGCTTCCTTGAAAATTCTAAGCTTTTAGTATTTTTATGGATACTCAATAGTAGCTGTTATGATGATGATGAAAAAGCATGAAGAGAAGGGCAAATTCAAATGAAGTACGATTTTGATTTGTGAAGTTTAGGCAGGTGTTAAAGGTTGTTGATAATGTTTGTTGAGTCGGTGACTTCATGGTGAAAGGGAAATGTTAGTCTTTATTATAAAGATTGCATTTGCCCTTGGTAAATGGTAACATTGCCCTGGCTTGTATTTTCCCTCCTGGGGCATGACAAAACGCTATTTCTTGTATATCCTTCAAGAAATACTCCTTTATAAACATGCATTTAGAGAAGATGTCTGTCCATTTGTTTCTCTACAGGTGGGATATGACATGCAGCTTGCTTTTCCCCCCTTTGAACAATGAACTAAATAGATATTATAATAATTATAATATTATAAATATAATAATAACAATAGTTAGCATTGTTGTGCCAGGCACTATGCCATAAACATACGCCATGCATTAGTCTTTTTACGTCCACCAGCCACTGACAGAGAAAGAAGCTGAGGAACAGAGAGGGTAAGAAACATGCCCAAGGTCACACAGCTAGTGGGCCTGGGCTTCAAACGCAGGGGCCTGACTGCAGAGCCCGGATGTTCAGTCACTGTCTTCCTCACGAGCATCATGAGGGTGATCTGGGTCAGCTCAGAAAGCCTTGCTCGCTCTCTTTGATGTTCAGGCCTTCCACATTTCCATCAGGTCTGTTACGTATGCGCTCTGCTCTGTGCCCTGGGGGTCTCCAGCTGCCAGTCTTCCCGTCTCTCTGCGGGCGCTGTCAAAGCCCCAGTTGCCCGCCTAGCAGCAGGCACTCCACACGCACCACCGTGGTCCTCCAGCGAGGAGCTAAACACCGCAGCACCCTCGCTCTTGGGTGGGATCACTCTGAGGTTGTGCATTCTACTCTGATTCCCCGAGTGCCTGATCTGGGGTGTGTCCCACCGGTAATGTTACTGCAGTCGGATTCTTGGGCCGGATAAGAGGAACGAGGCTGGACCCCAAAATCGAGGCCCAGGCAAGGCTTTCTTTTGGCTGCCACTTGAGCTGAAGGGAGACTCAGCACCAACAGAGGGTGGTTAGGCGGACCTCTCCAAGGAAGGAGCAACAAGGAGGCCTCGCCTGTCTGGAGACAGTTCCAGTTCACTATGCTAATGAGGGAAAGGGGAAAAAAGTGCCTCTAATCTGATTGGTTAGCAAGGGCCTAGTTCTGATTGGTTGGTAAGGCCTCGTCCTGATTGGTTGGCAGGGCCTCGTCCTGATTGGTTGGCAGGGCCTCGTCCTGATTGGTTGATATTGGCAGGCAATTCAGGCCGCTTATTGGCGCTTTTGGAGCAGCGGCTTCAGGTTGGTGGAGCCTCTGTTTTCAGTCAAGGTTGTGTATGGGGCTGGGTCCTGGTTCTGCTCTGTAAGAGAAGCGGTTTAACGATAACAGCCAACAGAAAGCGCCCCAGGTGCATAAGGTTTTTTATTTGGGGCTTGTTCCCATGGTCTCTGTCTCAGTGACTGGCTTGATTCTGCACCCTGATTGCGTGCCTTCCCTTTTCTGTGTCACGTCCGCTTCCTTACCCTATCTCCTCTGAATCTCAAACAAATGGTTTGCATTGACTCCTTGTCCTATGCTTTGCTTCTGGGGCACCCGGGCTAAGACAGGCTGTGTGGTGTTCCATTGTGTGAAGGTACCAGAAAGAAGAATATCAAGATGACTCCAGGACTCTGGCTGGATTAAATGGGTAGTTCAGGAAGGTTGCGGTGGATTAAATTTCGGAGGAAAATCAAGAATTCCATTTTGGATCTTTTTTTAAGTTGGAGGTACCATTATATCCAAGAAGATGTCAAGGAGGCAGCTGGATATGCTCAGTCTTCTGGCAGTTAGAGAGGTCTGTGCTGAGATATATAAGTGGTGCTGTTTGAACCCATGATATTTAAAATTTCAGTCCTAGAGGGAACCATGAGTGTACAGATTTTGGAGAGAGAGAAGGGAGCCTGGAACAGAGAAGGGAGCAAATCATGGGGCGGGGGAGGGCAGTGAGCGTGTTCCTCTGAGGCCAGTCTTCCCTACTCCAGAATAGAGAGAGCTGTGAGACTCAAAGCTGCTTCTAGTGGGCAATAACTCAATGTCCATGTGGTGCATCAGCCCATCTAAATGCAATGGGGGACAGGCAACAAGGGAGCAGAGAGTTTCTCATGTTTGTACTGGAAATGTACCCACTGTGGGTTCAGGGGGAGAACTGAGCTCATGAAACTTCTTCACCTAAAGTAAGAGGTGACCCTTTCATTCATGGAAAGTCAGATTGCACAAATATAAATTGACATGGAGAGTCTACTTCCAAATTAAGAAATAGATATTAGGTAAAAAGCAGCTAAAAAAAGAAACGTTTTCCACTAAAAGGACAGAAAAATCATTAGCCATATGAAATTTTAAAAAAGATCTGGCGTATTTCTCCACTCTTGATTTGTATCACTAACATAATCGCAATGACACTTTGATTTTTTTTGTTGCTTTGTTTTGCAAGTTCCTTGCCTTGCTAAACGGCTCAAGATTTATAAATGTCATCAACAGAATGAAAGTAGTAGGAGAACTATAACCAAGTTGTGTGTACGTGTGTGTGTGTGTGTGTGTATACACATGGAATAATTCAAACTTATTGTATGCTTTAAATTCAGATTGAAAAGGGCAAGGTTGATGTTTCTTATTTTTGTAATTAATAGGTCATTTGTGCTTTTATTATTAGAATTTGCTCAAACTCTAATTTTCCAGTCTTCCGTCAGCCAAGTGAGCATGTTTGTGTTACAAGACAGTACTTAAGAATCAGCCAGCCCTCTGCCTTTTTAGGGTCAACCAGGACCACCGGGGCCACAGGGTCCTATTGGACCCCTGGGACTGCCAGGACCCATTGGCATTCCAGGAGAGAAAGGGATGAGAGGTGACAGTGGTCCTCCTGGGGCAGCAGGTGACAAAGGTGATAAGGTAAGACTCTTCTTAAGTGAGAAATTCTTACTAACGACTCACCAGTGCTACCATGCCCGATTTTTTTTTCCAGCATAAAGTTTGTATTTCTTTTTTTATTTTATTTTATTATGTTATGTTAATCACCATACATTACATCATTAGTTTTTGATGTAGTGTTCCATGATTCATTGTTTGCATATAACACCCAGTGCTCCACGCAGACGTGCCCTCTTTAATGCCCATCACCAGGCTAACCCATCCCCCCACCCCTCTCCCCTCTAGAACCCTCAGTTTGTTTCTCAGAGTCCATCATCTCTCATGGTTCGTCTCCCCCTCTGATTTCCCCCCTTCATTTTTCCCTTCCTGTTATCTTCTTCTTCTTTTTTTTTTTTTAACATATAATGTATTATTTGTTTCAGAGGTACAGGTCTGTGATTCATTAGTCTTAAGCGTTCACCATAGCACATACCCTCCCCAATGTCTATCACCCAGCCACCCCATCCCTCCCACCCCCCACCACTCCAGCAACCCTGGGTTTGTTTCCTGAGATTAAGAATTCCTCATATCCTGGGTGGCTGAGTCGTTAAGCGTCTGCCTTCGGCTCAGGTCATGATCCCAGGGTCCTGGGATGGAGTCCCACATTGGGCTCCCTGTCTGCTTCTCCCTCTCCCACTCCCCCTGCTTGTGTTCCTGCTCTCGCTGTGTCTCTCTCTGTCAAATAAATAAATAAAGAAAATCTTAAAAAAAAAAGAATTCCTCATATCAGTGAGATCATATGATACATGTCTTTCTCTGATTGACTTATTTCATTTAGCATAATACCCTCTAGTTCCATCCACGTCATTACAAATGCATGCCAGATTTCTTTTTATAACCACAAATAGTCCGTACTACCACCTTATAATAAATTAAATCTAACCTTCTCTTCCATAGTCAGCCCTCATTCCCTAACTCTTTTCCAGAGGAGCATGTCTTTCTAGACTTTTCTATGCACTTAAATACATGAGTGTACCCAATGAAGGGTTGTATTCTTTCATGGCTTTCCTAAAAACCTAAGTGATATATTTATCATGCTAAGCCTTTCTTTTTTTAGTCAACCATATGGCTTAGAGATCATTCCATATCAATGTATGTAGATTAAACTTATTCTCTCAAAAATACTGCACAATATGCCACGGTACGGATAAAACTACAGTTTATTCCCTGTTGACATCCTGTCCCAACTTTGTGCTGTGCCAGGTGCAGAAGCCATCCTGTAAATTACCTGTGTTTACATTTAAGAGTTTATTTCTCTTGGAGAGACAGATTCTGAGAAGTTGAATTTCTGGCACATAGGTTATCGAATGTTTTCTTTGAACGGATGCTGCCAAGTTGGCTTCCTAAGTAGAAAAAGAAAAGTACAAAAGGTTTTTTCAAATATTAGCATTTAAGTTAATTAATGTAAAAAGGGGCACCCGGGTGGCTCAGTCAGTTAAGCGTCCGACTCTTGGTTCCAGCTCAGGTCACGATCTCAGGGTTCTGAGATCGAGCCCCGTGTTGTGCTCTGCGCTCAGGGAGGAGTTGGCTTGGGATTCTCTCTCTCCTTCTGCCCGCCTCCTTTCTCTAAAATAAATAAATAAATCTTTAAAAAAAAGTTATAATTAATGTAAAAAATAAATGACAACTGCTAAGAGTTTTTTAAAAAATGAGTTATTAATTATGTTTTCCAGTAAATCAGTCTGTTAATCTAATACTTAAGTAACTTTTATATCTTTGTTTTCTGGGATGTTAGGGTCCAACTGGTGTTCCTGGATTTCCAGGTTTGGATGGCATACCTGTAAGTATCCTTAAATTTTTTCCGTTTTTTTTTTTAAAAGGAAAAGCACTCATCAAAGCCCTTTAAGATCATATTTTATCTCTCACTATATATATTTATTTGGCAAACTCCTCTTTGTTTTCTCCTGGTAATACATGGAAGGGTGCTTGCGTTTTAATGTTGTGTAATAACTTTGAGACCAAAACACTACTTGAAAAGCAAGGTTTTCAAACAGATTAGAGAAAAACATTCCAAAATATAAGCTACATGTACTTGCCATGTTCTAGAAATAAATGTGTACTCATAGTGTAAGTTTTTATTTGCTGGTTAGTTTTAACAGAGGAAGGGGGCTTAATCTCTCATTTCTAATATGAAAACCAAATGAAAGCAGGGAAAGGTGTTTCAAGGGCTTTATAATCCATTAGAGTCTTTCTAAGGATTTAGGAAGGTGCTCTCCCAAATCTCTCAGAATATTCCAAACTAAATTAATTTCAGTTGGGCTATATTAAAATTTATCTGTATTTTTAATGCGCTACATAGTACTTGTGGGTGGGAAGGAAGTTTCACAAATTCAGTAACACGTGAGTCAAAGTTGCCATAATTTGGGTACCCATATTGCAGAAACTTTGTGTTACAGTATTCTTCCAAAAACACCTCACTCATCAGCTTGTTTCTTAACAGGGGCACCCAGGGCCTCCTGGATCCAGAGGCAAGCCTGGCATGCATGGCTATAATGGTTCGCGAGGTGATCCAGGGTTTCCAGGAGAGAGAGGAGTTCCTGGCCCAGGAGGCCCCCCAGTAAGACCCCCCACAGCTCATCCTAAAGGGAATCTTAAGTGAAGGGCTCTACAAGGGGCACGAGCTTGATGTGTTCAAGAAACAGTGTTCGTGCAAGTGTGCTGGGAGCGTGGTGAACGGATGGGGGTGGCTGGAGGGTGAGGACAGAGAGGTGTGCAAGACCCAGAGCTCTTGGGCCTTGCACACTGTGGGAGGAGGCTGGAGTTTCGCTACATGCCATGGGAAGGCACTGGGAGACCCACAGCTCTTGGGCCTTGCACACTGTGGGAGGAGGCTGGAGTTTCTCTACATGCCATGGGAAGGCACTGGGGCGTCGGGGGGGGGGGGCTACAAGGAAGGAAGCAGTCGGATCTGACGGATGTTCTATTAAGATGCTCTAGGCTGTTGTGTGGAGAGTGGATAGTAAGGGAAGGATCAGGGAGGTCAGTAAGCAAAACTTCCATTGTTTATCGTTCAGGGTTCACAGCAGACTCATAAACCCGCTAGGCATTTCAAACAGGAAGGCATTTCATAGAGGGAATTTGACACGTATTGGAAAGGTTGGAGGAGTGGAATTCAGGGACCACTGCTGGACTGTGATGCCAAGGGCTCGCACTTAGCTGAGATGCAGCAGCCGGGAGGCCTTCCGGCACATGACCACTGCCTCCCACCCCCCATGTCCAGACACCGGCAAACAAACACTCAAGTTTCTAACCTTACCTGCTTGGCAGCAACAATAACACAGGAAGAGGACGTCTTCCTCACTTCTGCCTTCCAAGTCTCATAAGCACATCTCCTTCGTGGACCCTAAGTCCCATTTCAGCTGCAAAGGGGTCTGGGAGATGTAGTTTTAACTTTCTCATCCCCATGATGCAATAAGAAAAAGGGAAGGCGTTTGGATGGATGTTCAGCACAATATCCAGCACTTCAGAAAACGTTACTGCTTTTAGGTGTTTTTTTATTCAGAAATGTGGACTTTTATTTAAATATGAATTTAGCAAGAACTATTCTTTCCTATACCCCTGATAGTCCCTTTCTCTCTCTTTTCCTTTTTCTCACATAAAGATTGGAGATGATTTGGCCTTTTAAAACTGGTTTTCTGAGACTTCGGGAGCCTTTCCACTTCCGTGTAAATACTGTTAACCAAGATTCCTTCTAAAAGGTTTTCTTATCACCACCACTGTAATCATCCTGCTTCCTCCTCATGGGTTTTCCATTTGCTCCCAATTCTAGTGTGACTGACCTGAACACAGAACTCAAAAACAGTTTCCAAATTTACATCTTTCTTTAATACCAAGGAAGAACAACAACCATCTTCTGTAGTTGAGCTTCTCAACCACCCTTTGTTTTCAAACTCAGCCATTTGAAGGCTCAAGTGCAGTCTGGTGAATGCACGTTTCTTCAGATCTTCAAATTGGGTCAAACCCCATTCTGCTGAGTGTCCATGAACGTTCAGAAGAGGAGGAGTTCTCGATTTTAGCTTTCCCACAGTGTGCCGTGGTGACCACGATACTGAAGTTTGCCGTAATGGTGTCTTTGCAAAGCAGCTTTCTTCCCCTTGGCCCATTTCATTTACAGTCGGTTCTCACTTTGCCCAGTGGTGTGAGGCATGAAGAATGACCATGGAAGCTGGCCCCACACAAGCAACCTTAACATCCAATGGGAAAAATTAGTATAGTTCCATGACCTCTAATACGTTTTGTTAAAATATTAAAAACTCTCTTCGAGTGAGTTATAAATACATAGGGAAGATTTTTAAAAAACTAATATTGATTTAGTACACTGTCATTTAAAACATACACTGACTCACAGAATCGAAGTGTCTCAGGTCTTTGAAAACACTTACCAAGAGTGTTTTGAACGGTGCCTTCTTCTGGCCGTGTAACTTACAATGATGAAGTGAATACGTCTTTCTGTGCTCTGGTGAATTGTCATACTCTTTTCTGAGTTTGGATCCGCTTCTAGCGCTGTGAACTGTATCTCAGAGTCCCTTTGCAACGAGGGTCTTGAGCCTGCGCCATGTCCTCTGGTAATCTTTAACTGTTTTGTCCCAGCCACTTCCCTTTTTTGTGTTGAGAACTTTGTCTTCATGGAGTCCCTCTGGCTCAGGAGTTTCAACATTCCATGATCGCTCAGTTATTTCTTCTAAGACTCCACTTACATTCTGTCTGAATTTCACTGCCAGCTTTATCATTTTTCATTCCCTCACTTATTTTCATCTTTGATGGCCAATTGCCTCTTGTGGTGGGGTCTATTTTCATGAAATAACATTTGGGTTTATCACTGGAAGATAAGGAGGGAACACACCTACGCACTTTGCTTGTGTGTGTGTGTGTGTGTGTGTGTGCATGCGTGCGCACGTGCACGCGCGTATGCACCTACTGACGCACAGATGTGCAGTAATCAATCACTGACAGACTGAAAAGGGTGATGGGACAGGGATCATGGTTCCCATCTGTTACTTATATATACCGATGAGCTAGTGGTGCTGTTACTCAGTTAATAGAAGGTGGTAACTGAAATTTGGAACCATTTTGTTGGAGGACTGGTGCTATTTAACTTAACTGTGGAACTAAAATTCATGCATCTTGGAACCGTGTGAAGCAAGGACTGCCTGATTAGGCCCATCTGATTTTTCAAGGAAAGCAGTTGCTGTAACTTACCATAAAAGCCTAAGTATCTCCCATTGGAAGCACAGTCAGGACTTTTCCAGAAGGGATTAACTTTGAAATCTGCATTTCCTTCGCGGGAGCCTGATACATGAAGATGGTAGAATTCTTATGTGGTAACCAAGTTAAGATATGTTAAGATATCCAGTAGGAAATCTTTGGGGGAAAAAAGAATACATTGAGTTATTTCATTCACTTTTTAAAAATACTCTCAGTAAGCTTGCAGCTGCTTACAAAAACCTTCCAAAAAGAAGATATGTTTTTAAGAGTTAATCTTACAAGAATACAGAGGCTCTATTTTGAACACAACAACTGAAATGAATAAAATCAATTTTTAAAAAATGATGTCTAAGGCATAAATTATTAACTGACAATTGCAAACTTGTTTACTTGTAAGAATAATACATATGAATTATTGTGTTTGAGGAAAAATGTAATTTTCCTGTTGAATAATTAGTAAATGGCTATGTATATTATTATATAATGTAACACTTACATATATTATATATTTATAACATGTGTATATTAATAGATACTCTGTCTTTGGAGATTCCTTAATAGATCTTAACTGAATATTGAATAAATATGTATGAGAACCTTAGGATGATAGCAATAATGGAGAGAAAAAAGAAATCTCCACTAGTAAAACATGACTATAATGGTATTTTACTGGTAATATTTCATACAAAAAAGAAAATACTGAAATAGCAATATGCTTTTTTCCCCCTCTTAAGTGAATATTTTATTTTCAGGGCCTTCCTGGGGAAAGTGGAGAAAAAGGAAATTCAGTGTTCATTTTAGGTGCCATTAAAGGTATTCAGGTAAGCTTTATGATCATGGTGGGTTGAAAAAATTTATTTTCCCATCTAGGTAAACCCATCCAGGAAACACACGGACATATCTCTTTTGAAGTGTCCTAGAGCACACTGTTTTTTATCATTACCCTGCCTCTCTCGATGGCACCATACTTCTTGTGTGAAGGCACTTGGCTTTAATTGCTCTGGTTGTAAATTCCAGTATCTCCTGACTGTTCTTGCAAAGTGTGACAGATACAGTTATTTCAGGGTTTCTCAGTCTTGGTACTATTGGCATCTGGGGCCAGATAATCATTTGTTGTGGGTGCTGACCCTGTGCATTATAGGATGTTGAACAGTATCCCTGCCTTTACCTACTGGATGCCAGTAGTATCCCCCCACCTAAATAATATCTCCAGATATTACCAAATGTGCCCTGGGAAGAAAAATCACCCCAGCTGAGAAGCACTGATTTATTTGTTGATAGAACGTTGTAATGATAATACTTAACATCCGGTATAAGAGAAGTCACCACTTTCGAACTTGAAAATTATAGAAACCCTATAGCACTATCCTGGGTAAATTAAATGCTTTTGTGTTTTTCTATACAATGATATACAAACATTCAGAAATAAACTCTTGAATGACCACCTATATCTCTAATATGAGTACCCTGAATAAGCAGAAGATCAGTAGATATAAATCAAGAGGAAAAATATGGTACATTTGCAAAACATATGGTCATTTCTCTTAAGGAAGAATATTCTACAACAGTTAGATAAAACTTAAATTTCTTTTTGTTTTTAAAGATTTTATTATTTATTTATTTGACAGAGAGAGACACAGCGAGAGAGGGAGCACAAGCAGGGGGAGTGGGAGAGGGAGAAGCAGGCTTCCCACGGAGCGGGGAGCCCGATGCGGGGCTCGATCCCAGGACCCTGGGATCATGACCTGAGCCGAAGGCAGACGCTTAACAACTTAGCCACCCAGGCGCCCCAAAACTTAAATTCTTCTATGAGACCCTAAGTTTCACCTGAGTGGTGATTCCTTTAGTGAGCTCACAGTATTTGTTTGTAACCTCTGAGCCTATACACACTTGTTAAGCAGCAGGAACTATGCTTTTGTTTATGGCTTAAATAATATGTTAAGCTTAGCATCAAAAGCAGGGTCCTTCTAGGAACCAGTATGGTGTGTTGGGAGGAGTAAATGGACCCTTACCAACCACTGTGACTTTGGGCAACCCCCTCAACCTCTCTGAGCCTCATGAGCCTCATTTTCCTTATTTGTGAAGCAAAATAAAGTCATATCTACCCTGCCTTCCTCTCAGTGCTGATGATCCATTGTAATAATTTATATCAAAACGCATTGTCAACTATAATGTACTGTACAATAATAGTCATGATGAGTTTTTTTAATTTAAATTCAGTATAGTTGACATAAAGTATTTTATGAGTTTCAGGGTTAGAATTTAGTGATTCGTTAGTTGCATATAACACCCAGGGCTCATTACATCAAGTTCCCTCCTTAATGCCCATCACCCAATTATCCCTTCCCCCCACCTGCCTCCCCTTCAGCAACCCTCAGTTTGTTCCCATAGTAAGAGTCTCTTATGGTTGGCCTCCCTCTTTGATTTTATCTTATTTTATTTTTCTTCCCTCCCCTATGTTCATCTGTTTTATTTATTAAATTCCACATATGAGTGAAATCATATGGTATTTGTCTTTCTCATTTCGCTTAGCATAATCCCCTCTAGTTCCATCCATGTCATTGCAGTTGGCAAGATTTCATTCTTCCTGACGGCTGAGTAATATTCCATTGTGTGTATATTCCACATCTTCTTTATCCATTCATCTGTTGATGGACATCTGGGCTTGTTCCGTATTTTGGCTACTGTGAACATTGCTGCTATGAACATTGGGGTGCACGTGCCCCTTCAGATCACTCTGTTTGTATCCTTTGGATAGATGTCTACTAGTGCAATTGCTGGGTCATACAGTAGCTCTCGTTTTAACTGTTTGAGGAACCCCCATACTGTTTTCCAGAGTGGCTGCACCAGTTTGCATTCCCATCAACAGTGCAAGAAGGTTCCCCTTTTTCTACCTCCTCATCAACATCTGTTTTTTCCTGAGTTGTTAATTTTAGCTATTCTGAACGATTTTAGTCATGATGCATATTTTTTTCTGCAATAGTGCAAGAAAGAATAAGTGAGATAGAAGGAGAAGAGGATATAGAGGATCCCTCATCTTAAAGAGAAACAGAAGATCCCAAATAAAAATGGTCTGCAGAGGGGCACCTGGGTGGCTCAGCTGGTTACGTGTCTGACTCTTGATTTCAGCTCCGGTCATGATCTCAGACTTGTGAGATTGAGCCCCACTTAAGAACCTCTCTCCTGCTCCCTCTGCCCCTACCCCTGCTCTCTCCCTCTCTAAAAAACCAAAAAGGTCTGCAGATCAATAACCTTAGAGAACCAATACTTTTAAGAGCCCATATCTACTTCACAGCCATTTGGATGGTTATTAAAAAAGAAAAAAACCAGAAAATCCTAAGTGTTGACAATTGTAGGGAGAAATCGGAGCTCTTCTGCATTGCTGGTGGGAAAGGAACTGGTGCTGCTGCTCTGGAAAATGCTATGACGACTCCTCAAAAAATTAAATGTAGGATTACCTTATGATCCAGCAATTCCATTTCCAGGTATATGCCCAAAAGAAATGAAAGCAGGGTCTCAAAAACAGATATTTGCACACTCATGTTCCTAGTAGCATTAGTCACAATAGCCAAGAGGTGGAAGCAACCCAAGTGCCCATTGCTGGATGAATGGATAAACGGAAGGGGATCTATACACACAACCCAGTATTATTCAGCCTTCCAAAGGATGGGAATCGTGACGCCTGCTGCAACGTGGATGAAGCCTGGAGGTCATCATGCTAAGTGACATAAGCCAGTCACAAAAGGACAGATAATGTATGATTCCACTTACATGAGGTTCCAAGAGTAGTCACATTCACAGAGACCAAGAGTAGAATGGTGCTTGCTAGGAGCCAGGGGGTGGGGAAATGTATTTAATGGCTCCAGTTTCCACTGGGGCAGAGGAAGATGTTCTGGAGATGGAAGGTGGTGATGATTGCACAACAGTGTGAGTGTACTTCACACCGCAGAATTGTACACTTCAAAAGGGCTAAAATGCTAACTCTTATCTTATGTAGACTTTTATCATATATTTTACGTTAAAAAAGAAGCTATATTCAAGAGAATATACACCCTTTGATTCTTTTTTTTTCAGCTAGTTTTTTTTTTTTAAGATTTTATTTATTTATTTGACAGAGAGAGACACAGCGAGAGAGGGAACACAAGCAGGGGGAGTGGGAGAGGGAGACGCAGGCTTCCCGCAGAGCGGGGAGCCTGATGCGGGGCTGGATCCCAGGACCCTGGGACCATGACCCGAGGCGAAGGCAGACGCCTAAAGACTGAGCCACCCAGGTGCCCCTCAGCTAGTTTTATTTTTATTTTTTATTGTTATGTTAATCACCATACATTATATCATTAGTTTTTGATGTAGTGTTCCATGATTCATTGTTTGCATATAACACCCAGTGCTCCATGCAGAACGTGCCCTCTTTAATACCCATCACCAGGCTAACCCGTCCTCCCACCCCCCTCCCCTCTAGAACCCTCAGGTTGTTTCTCAGAGTCCAGAGTCTCTCATGGTTCGTCTCCCCCTCCGATTTCCCCCTCTTCATTTTTTCCTTCCTACTATCTTCTTTTTTTTTTTTTTTTTTAACATATATGAATTGTGTAAGACTGTTGAACCACAGACCTGTCCCTCTGAAACACTCTTTGGTTCTTTAAAGCACTGTAGATGCACGCAGAGGCAGGTGCGAGAGAATTTCCACAAGAATTCCCTTTACATCTACTCTAGGGGGATAAAAAGGAGCAAAGTGTCTATTAGGGGAGGCAAGTTCTGGCAGTTAGACCAGAGACAGTTAAACTGTGATCGAATGGGACCATTGGATTGAGAATTTAGATTGTAAATGGGAAGATGAAAGTCTCACCTTGACTCCATGTCATCACGACTCGAGCAATCTTTAGTTTCAGCTGAGTAGAAGCAGGATTCTGGGGTTAGGAATGGACACAGAAAGTCCTCTCCACAGAGCCCTCCACGGGTGTCAACACCAGACAATTGAACAGCCTGCACGGACAGTCCGAATAATTCCTGTGTGGACTCCTCCTTTTACGTCATGTATGTTTTAGGAAAGTGGTGTCACTCTTCTAAAGCAGTGCATCGTTCCTATTGCAGGGCGACAGAGGGGACCCAGGACCTCCTGGCTTGCCGGTAAGTCTCCCAAGCAGGCCCTGTGCTTCTCTTTGCTTCTCGGTCAGCCTGTGGTCCGCACTGTTTGCATCCTAGCAGGACCAGCTGCATCATTTACAGAGCACACCAGTGCAAAATCAAAGGGTAGATCCCTTGCTCAAAAATTATTAAGAATTTCAAGGTAGTGCCAGCGTTAAATCAGGTGTGAGCCCCTATGTGACCACACAGGTCCCAGGCCCATGGAACTGTCCTGGAGTCTCAGCAAGCTTCTGCTTACCTTCCTCTTCTGTCTTTTAATGATCATTTGGCATTACTTGGGGACATACAGTCTCTTAATATTTGGGAAGCTGAGTTTCCCTCAAGTCTACCTAAATAATACATGTCAAGTGGAAATGATTTTGCTCTGTACTATTCTGCCTGCTGAATCAGTGTGTGTTGCATTTAATTTTTTGCTTCATCTTTATCTCCCTGAAATTTGTAATTATATTAGTGTTTGCAATTAATCAATCAGTGTTCACAAGATTAAAATTGAAAGTAGTTTTGCCTCCAAATTGGTTAACCTATGTTAGCTTGGTAAATTCTGGCTCTAGACAGGATTACTCTCCCACATTACTTGCTATCCCTGAAGCTCAGTTCGATGTAATCGATGAGATACCTTCATGTCACTGTTAAAATAAATACCAATTCATCCTCCTAGAGAGAGTAATTTCTTGCACACTCGCAAATTATTTGATGTGGGCAGGTTTGGCGGGAGAACAGAGAGCCTCTCTCCACACTTCTAGGAATGCACAGCTATAACCCCGCCTTGTGAATTTGTGTGCAATTATGCTACAACCTACATGTTACAGAAAGTGGTGGCTGAGTCACCTTAATCTTGAATTGGGGGCATGTCTATTCACATTAGTCTGATGGAGTGTATTCTAAAAATATGATGAAGCGTATAAATACATTCATATTTTAAAATCAATTATTATTAATTAATATGAATATTTTTAAAAACATCCCGATGTATGTCAAAGTTATAACATTGATGCAATTTAGGAATAACTGGTAACAAGTTTTCTTTGTGCTCTACTTTTGCTGTTACAAGATTTCTTTGCAAACAAGTAGATTGATTTCTCGGTCTTAATTCAATCCTAAACATAGGAGTTGGTCACACCTGCCGGAGTGCTGCTATCATGGACCTTTTAATGGCCGTGTCAACTGCGGTGAAGGTGCTCCTGCTACAGGGCAGGTGTGTCTGTGACCGTGATTTCTTTGGAGGTTTTTATCCACTTGGGATTACACGTAGGTTTTGCTATGAATGATGAGTTTGAGTTTTGGTAACCAATGCACTGCTGTTCTCATGTTTAGGGATTGAGGGGGGCAAGAGGAGCGGCGGGCCCAATGGGACATCTGGGAGAGCCCGGGTTAGCCGTAAGTAGAGCACTGCTCATTTTGTCCCTCTAAAAACCTGGCCTGGATGTTTAAATTAAACCCCCAAAAAAGAAAAAAGGCAAATTGCAGCTGTGGGTGGGGCGCAGGTGGGTCGTTTGAGAGGTTATCACTGATGAATCCGCGTACACCCCCCATCACCAGGGTGAGTTTATCGTGAAGCATGGGTCCCCAGGGCAACAAGAAGCCCAGCCATGAGAGGCAGTCCAGCAGGCATGTCTTAAAATTCAGGGTCTCCTAAAGAGGAACTTGGGGCAACCAACGCCAATACATTGTGATTTCTGTGACTGATAAATTGATTTGTGCATTTTTGCCCTTGATTTAGGGTGCTCCAGGCCATCCTGGGAGACCGGGCTTGAAGGTGGGTGGTCATGAGTAACATGCAACAAAGAGACTGTCCGTGTCCAATGAGCTAAGTGACCGCTGAGCTCTGTCTGAATTATGTCTTTCCCTTAGTAGACTTCCCCAAATACTTCATAAACTTCAATTAATTCCTTAACCAGAAGTCTTACTCGTTTGTAATTACCTTTTTAATATTCAAAAGCAATTACATTTTTTTTTTTTCCTTTTCCTTCCCAGGGTAATCCTGGCGTGGGAGTCAAGGGGCAAATGGGAGACCCGGTAAGAATCCCCTTCCGCACAGAGGAGCAGATGCTAAAATGTATGTGCTGCCCAGGTGGCAGAGGCTGTTCTGATTAGCACTTAAATTGTGTTCGTTATCCAGTCGCTGCCCAATTTTATGGCTGAGAATTTTTTTGCTGAATTATTATGGCGCCATTACCCTTGACCGTAAAATGACAGATCTGACAAAATTTAACACTAAATTCAAGTTAATGTATATGACTTATTTTACCCTAGCAAAAAGAGATTGAACATTTCTGATAATTTAGTATATCCCAGGGACAATTTGTTTAATTACTGATTTGTTTGGCTTAATTTCATAAATTTCCTCAGATTCCTAAACTCCACCCATAAATAAAAGTATAAATACCTGCAAGCAAAAGCATTTAGCAACACACTCCCTCCACCTCACACCCATCCTCACCATCCCTCCCTCACACCCACAGTCCTTTCTGCTGAGGCAGGAAACTTAGCAAAGATAAGCTTTAGAGAGGTATTTTAAGATGGCAGCGCATCTGCAAACAATCTGAATGGGTACCGATTGGTAAGTGGCTTGTGCCACAACTGTGGGCAAGGAGATATTGAACGTCTACTCTGTGCCAAGCCAGGACTGGTGCTGGACGTGGGGAGTTAGGAAGACAGACCTGTTCCCCACTTGCGTGGCGTCCCAGTGTGGTTGGGTAAGTTATGGTACAGCTGTCGAACAAAATGACTCGATTGCCCGAAATATGTTGGAAGACTTCACGATGTGCAGACGTGCCTATATGCTATAATGTTGATCAGAAAGCACAGGTTGCAAAAGTATAAGCTCAATTTGTAAAAACAACACAAGACATTAAAATAGACACTTAGAGCAGGATTTTACAACGTCAACACTGCTATTTCCTTGTTGTGGAGGCTGTCCCGTGCATTGTAGGGTAGGGTAGTTAGCTGCATCCCTGGCTTCTACCCACTAGATGCCTGAAACAGCCCTTCCTCCCCAGTGGTGACAACCTAAAATGTGTCACGACCTTGCCAGATGTCCCTGGGGGGAATAGTATGTCCAATTGCTTACCCCCCTCCTTAAAAACCACTAACTTAGAGAAATGACTGAAAGGAAATACACTAAAACAAGGTTTTTCAGACATGGGAAGTCATGGACCCCTGAGAATGTGCTCGTCGAAGCCCCAGAGGCTCATGCAGCCCGGCTTGAGACTCTCCGCCTTGTGGAGTGAGGCAGGCTATGCTAGTTTCGGGACCTCAGCACCAGTGCAATCACATACAGTTGCAAATTCAGGCCACAGAATCATGTGGAAATGTTTGGCTATGAGGTGGCCATTCAGATGATCCAAAATAGGCTTATTTTAATTCTTTTGGATTATCTGCTAAAGGAAAACACCATTTTGAAATTTTGATGCAGAACTCTCAGATGGGCAAGAACATGTTTGCCCCCGAAACGCTACCCCAAGCGGTTGTTACTGGTTTGTCCTAGGTGATGCGATTATGGGTCGTCTACAGTTTGTTCTTCATGATTTATGTTCCTTGTATTTTTGATTAAATGAATGTCTGGTACTTTTTCAATGTGAAAAAATAGTGGCATGACCAACATTTTGAAGAGGCTTCCTTGCTTGTCAGCTGTTACGGGTTTTGGTCTGGCTCATTACGGCGATAAGAATAAGAACGGTTGTGTTTACCAGCACATGTTACTCACTTGTGTATGTATCGTTTAAGCGTTTGTTCAGTCATTCGTTCACGTAACAGACATCCTCAGAACAGCTGCTACAACAACACTGTATTAGGTACTGGGGTACAGCGAGAAAAAGAAGCCAAGGTCCCTAACCTGGTTCTTCTGTAGTTTTCAGGGGTAGGTAGGCATTGAAGCGCAGGCTGTCTTACTTCATTTACGCTGGAAATAGTATTCTTCTTCCCCAAATCCCACCTACCAAAAACGTTAATGACTTAATAATCATATATTTGAGAATCTTCTTTGTTCCACTCAGTGTAGTAAGTACTAAGCATTTTATGTGCCTTATCTATTTAATAAAATAAAATACTTTGAAGTAGGCAGCAATATAACCCCCATTTCACAGAGAAGGAAAGTGAGATTCAGAGGAATCAAGGAAAAAAGGCTAAGAGAGATTTTAAGGAATTTGTCCAAAATAGCAGTCAGTCAGGGCCTGGTTTGCAAACACCGGTGACCAGTTCTGTCACCTGCTCTTAACTGTGTCTCAGTGCAGAACAGTAGGTATAGTCCAAAAAGTAAAAAATAGTTATCTGCTAGTTAAGGATGAGAATTCATGCTTATTTATGGCAAACCCAATTCAAGCAACATTTTATTCCCAAGAGAGTAACATTTCTAATGCCATAAATGACAACTTTTGGCTAATTATTTTATACAGAGAGTTTAAACATATTATTGAAAACAAATTAGAAATAACCTAAATCTCGGGCGCCTGGGTAGCTCAATCGGTTAAGCATCTGACTCTTGATTTTGGCTCAGATCATGATCTCAGGGTGGTGAGATCGAGCCCCTTGTCAGACTCTGCACTCAGCAGGCAGTCTGCTGGAGATTCTCTCCTCCCACCCCACCCTCTGCTTGTGTGAGCACTTGCTCTCTCTCTCTGAAATAAATAAATAAATCTTAAAAAAAAAAGAGATAACCTAAATCTAACCAGAGTGGAATGGCTTAATAAATGATAGCATATTCTTATGATAGGCGCTAAAAATCAGGTTTTTGAAAAATTTCTAGTATAATTGGAAAGTGTGCAAAAAATAGTATTATAAAAGACAAACAAAATTATTTTAAAATTTAAAACTTTAACAAAATATAAAAAGAAAAACCATACTGTGTATTTTAAATTATGTTTACATATTTTATATAGCATTCTGATTATATTTTAAATTTATTTAACACTTCATTTGATTACATATACATGTATATAAATATGTACATTGTTTGCATACATGTATGTATATAGACACACACAAGCACACACATCACAAAGAATTATACCAAAGTTTTATTTTTTATTTATTTTAAAGATTTTATTTATTTGAGAGAGAGAGAGAGCACAAGCAGTGGGGAAAGGCAGAGGGAGAGGGAGAAGCAGGCTCCCCACTGAGCAGGGAGCCCAATGCGGGACTCAATCCCAGGATCCCGGGATCATGACCTGAGCCGAAGGCAGACACTTAACCAACTGAGCCACCCAGGCACCCTATACCAAAATTTTAATAGAGATCTCTGATGGTAGTATTAGGAATCACTTTTGTTTTTGAAACTTATTTTTAATGATAAATATCATTACTTATGAAAAACAATAAATACTTTCAATTACATGATGTATTTGCCATGATTTATATTTTTAATCCATGACACATGGGATTGTATGCATCATATCATGATCCATGAGTAAAAATCTTCACTTCAAATCTTATTTCAAAATAAAGTTAATATGAAATTCCTACTATCTTGATTTTGTTGAAAGGGTGAAGTTGGCCAGCAGGGTTCTCCTGGACCCACCTTATTGGTACAGCCACCTGATTCTTGTCTGTACAAAGGAGAAAAGGTAATTGCCAATCCATATGTTTCCTGGATAAAGTAGAACAGCCAGCATTTCATGAACATGCCCCTGTGCCAGCAAAGTGCTGGGCACCTGCAGGCATCACTGCATTAATCCCAAAGCAACCTCAGCAGATTGATACTGCTAGTAGTCCCAATGTACAGACATGAAGAATGAGGCTTAGAGAAGTTACCCACATTCTCAAGTTTATTCAGTCGCTGTCACAGACCTAGTGTGGGCTGCTAAACCGTGACGTGTCCCCCAGTGTCCCCCATTGACACTGTATTTGATATATGGGCTGAAAGGACCACAGGAAGCCCAGTTGTTATTACACATGGGCTTGATGTTTTGATGATTGAGAAGGTAGCAGGTGCATAGTACTGGGCACGAACTAGACTCCTGGCGAATATCACGTCCTCTGTCAGCCTGCAGTACGGATGTTACTGATGCCACCTGAAGATTCTATTGTCAATTTTCAGTTACTGGATTAAATATCACTAATTTGATCAAAACGAGCCACTCCACTTGAGGCTGACATTCCCAGCTTGGATCTGCTGCCCTGGCTCCATGGGGGTTGTACCCCCACCACCCCACGAAGCTCTCACGCAGGGGTGGCCTGAGTTGTGCCCGCTTTATAAATGCACCTGGACCTTAGTCACTAACTAGCAGCAACTGAAGAGTAATCCTTTATCTTAAAAATTAGTAAAATGTTTCTTGAAAGAGATAATTTCTGAAAGACATGGCATTCAGTATGTTAAATAATAAGAGTGAGCCTGATTATATTTAGTGTGATTTTTAGGGCATAAAAGGAATGCCTGGCATGACTGGACCTCCAGGACCACCGGGACCCAAGGTAGTTTATTAAAATACCCTTTTTTATTTGATGATACGATATCTTAATTAAAAAATTTTTTGCATGGTCTTTATCATTGCTTTAATGCTAATATATATTACTCGAAGTTTTCACTATTTTATCCTGATTCCGTAAGGCATCTCTTCTAAGGTGGTTGTTTTCGTTAAGCTGCTGGCAAGAATTTTTATCTCTCATTTTGTATTTGCATTCCATGTTGCTGAAATATTGTTGCTTGAACACCTCTAAATGTTGTCATTTTTTCTTTAAGGGAGAACCTGGAATTGGGGCAAAAGGAGAGAAGGGTATCCCTGGGTTCTCAGGACCTCGGGTAAGGATCATTCATGCCATTCAGGCTGCCCCTAACATCAGTGAGTTGGAGGCCTTCCTTTCTCACATTTTTACAAAACTAGATCCGTATTTCTAACAACTCAAAAGTAGAGATTTTCTCAAAAAGGAACAATACATTTTGGACAAGAATTATGTCATAGCTAAATGTCCCGACAAGACATCCCTTCCAGTGACATCATTTAGATAAAATGGGCAAGCGGAAGACAGAATTGGTGTGAAGGAACAGGATTGTGGCATTTCCTGCCACAACTGGGGCTCAGTGTCAGTGTGACAGCAGCTTGGAATTGTTAATTTAAGCCTACTTGATAAAAGAGGATACTGATCTCGGGGCAGTGGTTACCAAAAACTATAGCATCAGGACTCAAACATCACCACACATGCCACTAATAGGATCACCGCTGACCGGGTCACTCTAAAGGCCAGAGCTCCCATGGGCAAGGGCCCTGAGTTTATTTGGCTCCAGATTCAGTAGTTAATGGGATGACATTGGCTTCCGTGGTAATTTTTTTGCTGATAATGCACAGAGTGCCTATTAATCTCTATGCAAATTATATTGCAATGATTCCAAAAATATTTAGCCCAGTGCAAGCATTAGGGTAAATAAGTTAAAACACAAGAGAGAGGGGGGGAGGGGGATGGGTTATCTTGGTGGTGGGTATTGAGGAGGGCACGTTCTGCATGGAGCACTGGGTGTTATGAACAAACAATGAATCATGGAACACTGCACCAAAAACTAATGATGTAATATATGGTGATTAACATAACAATAAAAAATTAAAAAAAAAAGAACAACAACAACAAAAATATGTTCCTACTTTAAAACACTGGCAAGGACATGAATTTTTAAAGTAAAACTGAAGATCGGTTAAAATAGCAAATGTTATAAAGAAACAGACTCTATTTTATATGTATTTCCTTTTATTCAGCTACCTTTGCAGACGAGTTGAAATATCCATAAAGCAGTTTCATAAGATGGAAAATAATGCATTGAACTGGTTTCAAGCACTTTGATTTGATTCTGCTTGTGTTGATTTTTGTGAATTTATTAGGGTGATCCTGGTTCCTATGGATCTCCAGGTTTTCCAGGATTAAAGGTAAATGTAGACAATTATAGAGATAATAAGTACATTTTTATTCATTAATGCAATTCAGTGTATTCAAAAGTTGTACTAGGGCATGCAAATATGCACACACTAACTGGAAAAGGAGACGTATTTATTTTGCAAATTGCAGGATCTAGCTGTAGATGCAAAAACTAAGAGCCAACACTGTCTGATACAACCCAAAAGAAGTGTTAAGGTTTTGCACAGAATCTCAGTGAGCTCATGTCATTCAAATTAAACAAGAATGAGATAATTTGTCACCCAGTCAGATTTTTTTTTTAAAGGCATGTTTGTGGTTATTTGTAGGGGGAGCCAGGACTGTTTGGAGAGCCTGGATCATTTGGATTTCTTGGCCCGAAGGTAAATAGGCAGGTGTATTTGAGTACAGCCTGATAAAATTCTGTATCCCTATGTTAACTAATTTCTTTTAAAAAATACTTGAAAGAATCATTCAAAAACATAACTTTTAAAAGAGACAGAGTTCATTTTATATGTATTATTCCAGTGCTTGTTGTAATGATTATGTTTTGCATTTGAGAAAGTATTCAACCTTTTGAAGATGAATAGTAACAGAAGTTTCAAGAATTCCATGAAGATCACCTACCATCACAATTAAAATCAGAGGGAGCAGTGGAGAGCTCCTGACTTTTTCTAGTGCATTTTTTTTGTCTTTCCTTTGTGCCTCTGTGACTTCACATCCAGCATTTGCTCAGGATAAGCCATGGTGGCAGTAAGGGGACACAGTTGAGGGGGACAATATTTGCTGTTAAAATAAGATGTGGGGCGCCTGGGTGGCTCAGTTGGTTAAGCGGCTGCCTTCGGCTCAGGTCATGATCCTGGAGTCCTGGGATCGAGTCCCACATCGGGCTCCCTGCTCGGCGGGGAGTCTGCTTCTCCCTCTGACCCTCTTCCCTCTCGTGCTCTCTATCTCTCATTCTCTCTCTCTCTCAAATAAATAAATAAAATCTTTAGAAAAAAAATAAAATAAAATAAGATGTGATTCAGGTTTTATAGGTGAATAGACTATTTGTCCTAGAGTGCCAAATTCAACATAAATGCTCATAGGATATCTAAGAAACTTCATGGTTTCAGAGGTATCTAATTTAAGGGCATGAAATCGATTTTTGGGAGTTAATTTTTTTTTTCTTTTGTGAGTTTTGTCAGTTGGTCATCTACTTCTGCTTGTAGGTGGGAGGCCGGGTGGTGCTTTTGTTATCCCAGAACTCCATGAAACATTCATGTTTCCAGTCAGCCTATAATCTTCATTTCTTATATGAATGCACTCTTGTTCTTCCAATAGTTATGGGCAACATGAGAAAAATACTAATATTTCTAAGAAAAGCATATGAATGAATGATTTCAGGGGGATCCTGGAGACCGCGGGTACCCAGGACCACCGGGGGTTTTGATAACTCCATCTCTTCCACTCAAAGGTTTGTGTTCACTTTGGTTCCTTCATAAATTATTAGGAAACGGGATTTGGGTGCCCTGACAGAAGAGTCTGGCCCAGTATTTCTGTACATTGCATACCTGGTATGCTAAATACATTAATTTTAGTAAGAATATATAATTTACAGGTGCCAGTAGATAGGTGCCTCTGAATCATCTCTATGGGCATATGACTCCAAATGTGATTTTAGGATGCAGAAATTGTTATTATCTCACCTTTCCAAAAGTAGGTTTTTTTTTTTTTAATTGCTAAACCATTTGATTAAGACCTACCGAGATGCTGCCTCCAAGAAAAAAGTGACCCATATCACTGAGAGAGACAGTGCTTCCCTCAGTTCATGTGTTTGCAGAGCAGGGGCAGCTGAAGAAGGGGTTCTAGTTTGAGATCCTGCATTTTTTTTTTAAATGTCGGGAGAAATCGCAAGAACAGTCTTTTAGTTGTGCTCAACCAAGTCTCACAAGAAGTAATTGTGTGTGAATTTTAAAATGTATGTATACAGTTATTACATTGACATGTGTTGTTGTTTTGGGCAGGCCCTCCAGGGGATCCGGGGCGCCCTGGCCGCTACGGAGAAACGGGGTCTGTTGGACCACCTGGTCCTCCTGGCCCCTCCGGTCCACCAGGGGAAGCCCGCGCAGGTAGAACTCTACTGGCTCTTACATGCCAGGTTTCCCACATCCTCAACCTCAACCCTAGCTGATCCTGAGCTCAACTAGGGGCGTTTCAGAAAAACTCATGACTGTCCCGCCCTCCAGACCAAGCATGTTGGGCTCTCTGGGACATGGACCTAGGTGTCTGCTATTATAAAAGCACCTCCTATTTCTAATGGACAGCTGGACTTAAGAGCCACTGAACTCAAACCAATGAGTGGCTTCCTTGGAAGAAAGCCAGGCTCCTCGGCTGCACCTCAGAAATATTCAGTCAGCATCTCAGGGGGGTGGTGAGGAATATGTGTGGGTAAGAGGCATCCCGCAAGATTGTCACAGGCACATAAGATTTGGAAATGGGTGCCAGGGTAGAATGTTTTTTCAGGTCTTAAAACCATCTTGGAAGACTCTCCTTGTTGACATCTGTTCATTAAAATTGAGTTCCTCTCCTATGTGAAAGGCGCAAATACAGATTATGAGTTTAAAAATGTTATTAATTAAAAAATTTAAAAAATGAAATGTGATTCAGCCTTAGTTAAGAAACCAAAACCAAAACAAAAGTCCTCACCTCCCCCCCGCCAAATCTGCACCCCCTCCAAAAACAAACAAACCAAGCAAAAACACCTTAGAGCTCATGGTAATAGTGGAGGGAGAGCCTGGGAAAGAATCCTATTGATAGAGGACTTTGAACTCCTTCAAGTGCTGTGCTGACTGATATTCCCAAGTAAGATTAGGAATAGAAGCTTAGAGTATATTTGCATTCTGTGAACTCAGGAGAACTGATTTAACATGTGAAGAGTGAGTCTTGAATAGATGTAATTTTATCCAGTCTGTGTCTTGTTATATTTCCTGAGAAGGAGTAAGAAGTTTCCAGAGATTCATCTGTTAACTACCAAGTTCTTTAACTACCCCGATCCTAGCTTCCACTTTGTGGGATCTGATAACCCACTACAAAGTGGGGCAAAGCTTTGTTTAGTTGACTTAACTGTAGATACCATGGCCTTGGCTTAATTGACCAAGGACTATATAAGTCAAAGAGAGAGTACTCAGCTGGTCAGGAATCATTAGCACCTGGTCTTAGATGTCTCCTTTCGGGCTTGTTCATAATAAAATAGGGGTTCCAACAGATTGAAATAAAAACCCAGTGGGAGTAAGCAACACATATCTCTAGCGGACTGAAAACCAAATGTAGTAGAAAGACTCTTACTTCCACAAGATTTTTAAAAAGAATTAACCCAGTGGCTTTCAAATCTTGACTACAACCCGTTATAAAAAATACATTTTATATTATATTGCATTTACATTGCATTGCACACACTTATATGTATCCACATACATATTAAAACACAAATGCCCAAAGAAAAAAGAAAAACACAGATTTCACAAAATAATACCTTTTTGTGTATGATATATTCTATTTTCTGTGCCACTTTTTTCTTTTGGAAAAGAATTTTTAATGCTGGCCACAACTTAATTGATTTCATGGGCGGTCAGGGCTGCTCTATGCCAGACACTGTAACCGATTTTCCCTGTTGAAAGGTGGTTGAGGATTTTCCATGGCACGGGGACAAGATACCAGGTAGTCCATCCAGTGACTGTAGGGGTTTGGAGACAGGTCTTAGGAATGACATGAAGACAAGATGGCAGCCAAGTCCACAGGAGTGACATGAAGACAAGATGGCAGCCAAGTCCACAGGAGCACATCTCATTTAAGTACACCAACGTCTATAGCCTTCATTATACATATTTTATAATCACCTAAAGTATTTGCCATGAGATAAGCAGGAGTTTGGAGGTATATACCTGTGGCTGAATCCCAGCTTTGCCCCACTTTGTGTAGTATACTGAAATAGTTACGCGTTTACACTACGGACTAAAATTCCAGGTTCTGCTACATACCGACTGTGTGATCTTGGGCATTTACTCAACCTCTCTGTGCCTCCGTTTTCTCATCCCCAGAGGGCAGTTCTCGTTAGGGTTGAAAGAAGTAATATGGATACAGTTCTTAGGATGTTAGCTATTATTATTACTCATGTTTGGCCTAAATTTTCTGTGCCTTATCTATAAGGTACAAACTTTTTGCAAGATTGTTTCAGGAGTAAGGATAATGTTTGAAAGTGTATGTAAAGACCCAGCACATATGCACACAATAATGAATGCTGCTAATTTGGCTAACGTGCCACTTACTGATTACTGACAGGGTTTCAGTTGCCTATTGCTGAACAAATTACCCAAACCTTAGTGGCTTCAAACAACAATCAGCCTATTACCCCTCACTGTGTGGTTCAAGAGTTCAGGAAGGGCTAAGCTGAGCAATTCTACATAGAGATGTTCCTGTGGTGGCAGCCACGTAATGGCTGGAACCAGAACGTGAGGACTGGCTGTGCATCTCTGTCCTCTATCTTCCGTGTGGTCTCATGGCCTCTCTGTCCTGCTCTGTACTTATTTAGGCTTCCTTATAGCATGGCGGCTTCAGAGTAGTGGTATTACCTCCATGGTGGCTCAGACCTGCAATCCCAAGCATCTCAGCTCACAAGGCAGAAGCTGAATCATCTTTAATGACCTAACCTTGACCTTATATATATAGTGTCGCTCCTGTTGTACTTCATTAGTCCAAATAACCACAAAAAGCTGAATGGAACATTCAAGGGGAAGGGAACATGTCACCTCTTGCTAGGAGAGCTTCAAGCTTCTACAACAGTGTGAGGGAGAAGAGCTAGCATGGTGGCCGTCTTTGAGAACGACTGTCTTCCACTGAGAGATTCATGCTCAGGAAGAAGAAGCTGTGAGAAGTGGTTACTCTCATAGGAAGGCTTCGAGCTGTCTTCAGCCAAAGTCCCCAGCAAGGGGGTTGTTTCCTGCAGGAAAGCAGGATTTAGCTTTGACTCACTTTGACCTCTGAACACACTGAACATCTCAGCATTCCTTGAGCGTGTGCAATTACCAGATATTGCACTAAGGTCCTTACGTGAATTATTTTATTTATTCCTCATAACAAGCCTCTGAGATAAATATAGGTGATTAGAGAAGTTCAGTAACTTACTTAAGTACATGTGGCTGGAGAGAGAGAAGTTGGGTTCAAATCCAGCACCTCTCTGCCTCCCCACCAACCTAGGTTGCTATGAAAGGTATGGTATTCTATGTCTCACATAGATTATATATGAGTCTGTATTTTTATTCACTACATGTGCTAATAAGTTCATTCAGATTATTTTTAACCAAATTATCAAAGTGGCAAGATTGAAAAATAGTATTTTTAATTAAATAATATGTATTTTCCCCCCAATAACCCTAAATAATAGGGGAAAAGTAAGAAAATCTGATTCCTCAAACCTGTTTCCATTTGTGTGCTTATTTCAAAGATGGTAAGGTATTTTTATGGCTGGGATATTAAGTCATTTTGAAGTACATTTTTTTTCCCCCTTAAAAGTATTTACAGCCTAAGGAAGAATGTACTGATTTTCATTTCTTCTAAACAAAAGTTTACTCTGAGAGATAAATGTGGTTTTAATTCTTGATTTCTCCTGGAGGCATGATGGGACCTCCTGGGCCAAGAGGGCTTCCTGGTCATCCGGGATTTCCAGGGGCAGCTGGTATCCCTGGGAGAGCTGAATCCAGTCCAGGAAAGCCAGGGAACCCAGGACCACCAGGGTTGCCCGGAGCCCCAGGGCTGCAGGGACCTCCGGGATCAGATGGTAAAGTGCTCCTCCTTCACATTCATTGGCATTTATGTTGCATGTGATATTTGCAGTGTCATGCAGAATATGTGACTTTCTAAATATTTTTAAAAATTATCTAATATTTCATGAGCCAAGTTAGTATTCTTAATAATACAAAAAAGTAGACTGATGTTGGATATCGCATCAGCTACAGCATATGAAAATATTTGGTTGAGCATTCAAGTGTGAATTATGGAATTTTGTAAGTGAATATGATTTTTATTTTTTAAGTGTAGTTTTAATTTTTATCAGAGGTACAGATGGACTGCTTGAGAATCAAACAGTTCTATGAAGCCTGTTGTGAAGAACTGCCATCCCAGGCAACCCTTCTCCTGTTCCTTCCTCCCCAGGGGGCATTATTTTCACACAAGTAGTTGGATTTTCTGTTATTTGACTTTCTAGTCACCTTCAATGTACTTGTATTGCTATTTCTTAATTTTTTTGGGGGGGACAGAGGGCGAAAGAGAGAATTCTAAGTAGGTTCCATGCCCAGAATGGAGCCCCATATGGGGCTCAATCTCTTGACCCTGCGATCCTGACCTGAGTCGAAATCAAGAGTCCGTCGCTTAACCAATGGAGCCTCCCAGGTGCCCCACTATTTTTTTTCATTCTTGAGTTTGAGCCTAATCTTCTGACTTCCTTCCATAGAAGATGAAATTAGCTCTCTTTCAGTCCCTCTCCACCGCACATATGCACACTTTCTACTCCCCAAACCCATTCAATTTAGTTATTATCTTAATTTTGATTAAATATTCATTACTTACCCTGGATGGTTACATAAAAGCTATTCAGCAGTTCAGCCATATTATAATACACCTTATTACTTTTCTAGCACAACATTTTGTTAATAATTGTCTTGTTTTCTTTGTGTGTTTGCTTGGTTTTCAATATAATTTACTGCTAATTCAACCTCAAACCATGTAGAATTGTATAAATCTCCATTCTAACTCATTAAATATTTTATCACTATTATCTCCTAGAGCTTTTTAACCTGTTCAGATTAGGTCAGGTTGCAATTTTTTAAAAGATTGATTTATTTATTTTAGAGAGAGAGAGAGAGAGAGAGCTCGTGAGCAGGAGCAGGGGCCGAGGGAGAGGGAGACATAGAGACCCCCCTGCTGAGCATGTACCCTCGCCCCACTCTAAAAGCTCTAAAGCTCTGCTCTAAAAGCTTATAGAAATTTTTCTTTTTTTTCCCCAATGATCTTAAATGTCACAAGGACTTGCCTCTGTGTGGGCACATTTGCATTTGTTGGTAGGTGCTCAGTGGGCAGGTTCCAGCCAACACAAATCCTCCATTTCTGGATAAATTTCTTGAAGTGTCAAAAACTAATGATGTTTTATATGGTGACTAACAACGTAATAAAATAAAATTTAAAAAAATAAAAAAATAAAATAAAAATTTCTTGAAGTGTTTCTCTGAAGATACTTCATATCTTCAGTTTTCTCCTTCCGGACTCTATACATTTGCCTGTTAGAGAATCCACCCTACGTGTCTCTTTCTCTCATCTTTATTCTTCTTCACCTTTATATTTTTCTGTAACACTTTCTAGTAGACTTCCCCAAAGCCATCTGAGAACTCTGCTCCAGAATTTTTCAATTTCTGCTTTCATAATAATTTTTTTTAATTTCTAAGTGTTTTGTCATTGCTATTGTTTTAATGTTTTCTTTTGTAGCCATCTGTTCATGTTTTAGAGATGAAATGCCTTCTTTCATCTACTTCTTAAATTATATAGTTTACTTCAAGGTTTTCTTCTTGCTATGTTTTCAGTTACCTCCAGTTCTGAGGGGTCACGGTTACTGCTGTAATTTTTGAGAAGGAGATCTTAAGATTGAACTGTTTCTTTAACCAGTCATTCTGATTGAGGCATCACTGTTATTTTACTTCAAGGTACCAATTCCTGGGGCACCTGGGTGGTTCAATCGGTTAAGCATCCAACTCTTGATTTCAGCTCAGGTCATGATCTCAGGGTCATGAGATTGAGCCCTGCGTCGGGCTCTGTGCAGGGCATGGAGCCTGCTGAGGATTCTCTCTCTCCCTTTCTCTCTGTTCCTCTCTCCCCTGCTCCCAAGTGCATGCTCTCTTTCTCTCTCTTGCAAAAAAAAAGGTACCAATTCCTGAAGTCTGGGAGAGATTTCTCATGTAAATTGTGCTCTTTGTTGCCTTTCCCCACAGCCTGCTTAGATGTCAGCTTTTCAGGGTCTGCTAGGTTCTCTCATATTTTTTTTTTCAGATTTCAAGATCTTTTATTACATGACCACATGAAATCAGGCCAGTGACAGATTATGCAGTAAATAATATCCAGGAAAATGTTCATCTTATAATCTCTTCATTTTACAAATGTAACATTCTGTGTGACTGCATACTTTATTCTATGATCTCATTTTTTATTGCCCACCAAGGCAACCAGTGGCTGTTTCTGACTCCTCACTCACTTTCTTCACCACAGAATACCAGTCTTCTAAATTCTCAAAGCTTTGATAATTTGTAATATCATATACCAAGAGGATTCCAAGTGCTCCATAGATATATTTATCCAACATCTTGCCTCCTATTGTCTGTCCTCCTATATCCCAAACTTGAAGAGTAACATTCAGGTTTTCTGGCAACGTTATCCTTCTCAAAAAGAAATCCAGTCCCATAGTTTGTTTGTACTGTTTCCCAAAAGTTTCTTGAGCAAAACATGTAGTTAAGGAGGTCTTCCCAGAGGTGCCGTCCCCCAGCATGACGATTTTCAGTTGCTGGTCCTGGCTCTCCTCCTCAGAGTCTGACATGGTGTCCTGGGAACCAGGCCCGCTCCCCCACCCCCACCCCGAGGTAGAGGGAGGAAGGGTAGGAGGGGGTCTCCGGGGGCGGGGGAGAGGAGGAAGGGCGGCAGTGGGGGCAGGACCCCCCCCCCGCCCCGCCCCGGTGTCTCAGCGGCAGCTGGACGTATCTGGGGTGAATCACTCACCAGGCGCCATCTTGCCCACCTCCCCCGGTGCTCTCATATTTTTTTGCTGTTGTTTTCTTTCCCCTTTTCTTTGTCCTGCAGGCTTACACATTTTTATAATATTGCTGTACTGTTGGCTATTTTACTGGGATTTGGGAAGAATAAGGAGTTTATTGTTTGTGTTTAATGTCACCTTTAGTCAGATGTCTCTGGATTTATACTTTTATGAGCTATGTGTTATGCTTTCTTTAATTTGGTAATTATTCATAATTGTGGGAGAAAAAGATCCTTGCCATACAGTTATTTTGTTTGTTTTGTTGGTTGGTGGTTTGGTTTGGTTTGTTTGTTTTGTTGTCTGTTGCCTTCCTCTGCCAGCCACTAAGTTGGGGTTGAGAGTAGGATGGCTTTATCAGTGGCTGTGGTAGCAGGAACAGGCTGTGACATTTGTATGATCTATTTGTATATGTATGTTCTTCTATCAGAGAGAAAGAATGGTGAGGAAGGAATGAAAGCAAGGTGGGCTTAAGAGGAAGATGGGAGCGCAAGAGACACTCCCACTTGTTCTCTAGAATACATTCACAGAGACTGTGTGATTCTCTCGCCCCCCTTCCCTACTGTAAAGTTATATATTGTAGTGTTGGACACCCTGGACCACAAGGAATGAAAGGCAAAGTGGGTCCTCCAGGAAGAAGAGGCTCAAAAGGAGAAAAAGGCAAGTATGCATCAAAGGTAGGGTTTCCAGAAGACAGCAGCATATGGGGGCTTGGGGGCATTTATCATGGGAGCAATGTGCCATTTCACTTTGATGCATTACACGCCTTATTTACCCCTGTGAGCATTCCTTTTCATTGTGTGCTTATGAGGTAATTAGAACTTACCAGAAGTCAAGTCCTTCTTTTCATTTCTTTTTTCAAATTTTCTTTTTTTATTTTTATTTAAATTCAATTAGCCAACATATAGTAGGACATCATTAGTTTTTGATGTAGTGATCAATGATTCATTAGTTGCATCTCACAAAATCAAGTCCTTCTATCTGAGAGTCTAAAGGAGACACTTGCCTGCTGTGAAATTTGCCTCAGAGTGGTGACTTTTTTCATGAGGTCCTTTTTATTCCTTGAAAAAGCAGAGATAGGATAGTATGGATCTTTTATTTCCCTTTCTCTGTGTGGGTCCATATTTTCTAGACTCATCAAATGTCTCTGGCTTTAAGTTTCTCCACCCTAAAGGTTGTTTAATGCCTTTTTGACCATCTGGGATAGGTGGGTATGAGAGCGTAAACACAGCTGAGTTCGACGATCCTAAAGGCATTTCTTTTAGACTGAAAGTCCCAATGATTAGAAAGTGCATTGTACTGAATTATCAATTATAATATGCAATGCGCCGGGCACCATCTTGGCTCAAAGGACTCAATAGTCCTTTTTCACATATTAGTTTGTTTATTTGTTTGAGTTTATCCTCCAACCCATTTTTTTTTCTGTTTCTTCAGTAGGAACTAAATAAAAGATTTTCACACTTTAAAAAATAAGATCGCTTCTTTAAAGTTTCTTTGATAGAGTTGGATATCAACTTTTCCCCTAGAGTTTGTCAGGATGGGTTTCTTAAGACCCCAAACACACCATTTGTCTAAAAATGATATATCTGCTCCACACAGACCATGCCTAGCAACCCTTGCACAGTGTCCCATGCCCCCACGTCAAACATTATCAGGACCTTTTGTTCTTATTTCATTTTTGGTTTTATTTAGTAAAGACTTTTTGGGATTTTATGCAGGAGATATGACAAAGCTGCCTTTTATCCTCTGTCTAGGAAACGCGGGGCTCTGTGCCTGTGAGCCCGGTCCCATGGGCCCACCAGGACCTCCGGGACTTCCTGGGAGACAGGGTAGTAAGGGAGACTTGGGGCTCCCTGGGTGGCTTGGAGAGAAAGGTCACCCAGGTCCTCCTGGAGCTGAAGGATCTCCAGGACCACCAGTGAGTAGCTCTTACCAGTAACAAACTTTCTAGTTGAAAGAGACAGAGATAAAATTCAACTGTCTCTCTTTCTGATGTATGGTGTGATATATATATTTTATGTTTTGAATATATATATATATATATAAATGACCCAAAAAATCATCTATATGCATTCATTCATCAAACTAATATTTATTGAATACCTACTATGTTCCAGGTGCCATTCTAGGTGCTCGGGATACAATAAGGAGCAGAACACAGTCTCTGCCCTCCTGGGGACTCCAGGGATTGGGTGGAGACACACTATGTAACAAATAGATGAGTGTTTATGGATGATGATGATAAAGGCCATCACCGTCTAGTGTGGCTTGAGGGGCAGAGCTGGAGGAGATGAACTCAAGGGAGTGGCTGGAGGTTCGGAGGGGCTGTGGAGCATGGGGTTTGGCAGGTGGGTTGGATTTGAGCTTTTGCTCTGGATGACATGGAACAGACAGTGGAAAGTTTTAAGAAGAGAGAGACATAATCTGACATTAGCTTCAAATGGATCGCTCTGATAGCTCTGGTAAGAACAGGTCACGGAGGACGAGGGAAGAAGCGGGGGGATGAGCTGGATGATGATTACGGTAATCTTGGTGAAATGTGATGGTAGACAGATTAACATGTTGGTGCTGGGTTTGCCGAGAAGTGGTCAGATTCTCGAGATGTTTTGAGGACAGTGCTACTAGATGGGCTGTTAGGCTAGACACAGGATATTAGAAGAAAAGTAAAGGCCGCGGCCCAAATGGGGAAGACAATGTGAGGCGCCGATGTGCAACGGGGAGAAGGAAGCAGTATTTTTGGTAACGTCTTAAATTTGAGGTGCCTGTTAGACCAGTCGAGGTGTTGAGTAGGTAGTGAGATGATATTCAAGTAAGGGATTCAGTGGAGAGGTCCAAACTCGAGATACAAACATTGGCTTTGCCAGGTTTTTCGTGATATTTCATGCACTGAGTAGATGGATCTGTTTTGAAATGGTTCGCATCTGCTGACCATTGTAAGTGACTCGAGTTGAGGAACAACCTTTCAGCTACTTTGCTGCTCAGAACAAAGTCACTGCCCCATAGGGCACTCCGCTGAAGGCTAGACACCGCCCACCTGTCCCATCGTTAGTGAAGAGCCTTCATCCCGGGGTGACCTGGAGCCTAACCATCAGCCGCAATGTGCTCTTTTCCATTTTCCCCACGGAATGCCATGAAAATAGGGCTCCAGTCTGAGAGCCTTAAGTGAGGGTGACAGTTAGGCTCTCCCTGTACCACCCTTGACACCCTTGCAAAGCACCGTGGCAAAGTCCGCTCAGCAAGAAGTGTGTTAAATGAACATGGCTGCAGCTGTTAAGTACTTTGTATTTTATTGCCTGCTTTTTTAATTCAACATTTTAGCATAGTCATTTTTTTTATGTTGGTACTTAATCTTTTTTTTTTTTAATTTATTTATTTGAGAGAGAGAGAATGAGAGATAGAGAGCACGAGAGGGAAGAGGGTCAGAGGGAGAAGCAGACTCCCCACTGAGCGGGGAGCCCGATGCGGGACTCGATCCCGGGACTCCAGGATCATGACCTGAGCCGAAGGCAGTCGCTTAACCAACTGAGCCACCCAGGCGCCCGGTACTTAATCTTCTTAATGAAGAGTATACTGGCTCTAAAATATTTTTGTGGCTTCCTCTTGAGTTGCTTCTCAGGGCTAACATCTTTTAGTGTGAATGACTCGTTCATCCAGGGTTGTCCTGCCTGAGCTTTCTGCAATTCACTTGCTCTAGGGCTCACCTCTTTGGACAGGTTCTATTTCTAACGTCCTTTTTCTGTGTCTGATTCTGTCCATACGACTTCTCTGCATTAAATTCATCACAGGGTGGTCATAGTTAGGGACCAGGTCCATAGGATGGGCACCATGAAAGAAAAATGGGGGAGGGAGAAGAATGGGTAGAAGGAGAGAGCACAGGGGAGTCACGGGTGATCATTGTGGGTGCTTTTGTATTTATCGCCATAGTCTGAGGATGGGGGGTTCCCACCAAGATGCTATAGTGCAAGGCATGGGACCTTAGGGGCACGTGGACCCACCTTCACATCCCAACTATGACATTGGTGAGCTCTACAGTCTTCTTGAGCTTCAGTGCCTCATTTATAAAATGGATATAATGACACCTGTCTTACAGGTTTCTTGGTAAGGATTCAATTCAGCAGTATATTTTGAGGACTATAAGGTATACACACCAGTGAACAACCAGGGTCACTGCCCCCAGTGAGTTGCAGAGCAAACCAAAGGTCACAAACTGACATGGGCTAAATCTGATCCACTGGCATGTTGATTTTTGTCTTCGTGGTGTTTGTTTTTGTATTATTAATAAGATTTATGGCTGCCCTTGGGAAACTGAAAGTTCATTAACACAGGGTCAGTGCATTCCTACAGTTGCCAGGAGCTTAGAGGTGGCCATGCCTGTGGGAGCAGGGCTGGGTGCTCATGTCCCCACACAGTCCATCCATCTGCTTCCCTTGGTAGGCATGGCCTCTCAGCCTCTGTGGCTAAAGTCCCTAATCTAGATCATGTTTTAAACAACAGGTACATGCCTGTCAGAGAGGGGTTCTTTTATTGCTGCTGAGATTTTGTGGTTGTATTAACACATGTATTTAGTGATCTCAGATCTTAGAACAGTGACAAGTAGCCCTTGATCCCACAGCTGCTGGGAACCTTTGGCCCAAGAATCTCTTAGATTCAACATTTGTTTCACCAAGAATCTAAGCGCCACGAAGGCAAGATGGTCTGCTGTTATCTGTTGTGTCCTTGTAATGTGTATTATTGAATATTAATCCATGTCAAAAACCTGGAACCCTACCATTTGCTTTGCAAGGGTGTCAAGGGTGGTACAGGGAGAGCCTAACTGTCACCCTCACTTAAGGCTCTCAGACTGGAGCCCTAATTTCATGGCATTCCCTGGGGGAAATGGAAAAGAGCACATTGGGGCTGATGGTTAGGCTCCAGGTCACCCCGGGATGAAGGCTCTTCACTAACGATGGGACAGGTGGGCGATGTCTAGCCTTCAGCGGAGTGCCCTATGGGGCAGTGACTTTGTTCTGAGCAGTCAAGTAGCTGAAAGGTTGTTCCTCAACTCGAGTCACTTATAACGGTCAGCGGATGCGAACCATTTCAAAACAGATCCATCTACTCAGTGCATGAAATATCACGAAAAACCTGGCAAAGCCAATGTTTGTATCTCGAGTTTGGACCTCTCATCTGAATCCCTTACCTGCTGTTATCTGTTGTATCCAAGTAATGCCTGGCACTTTAGGTTCTCAGTAAATGTCTCTTACAAAAATAAAGAGAGCCCTACCTTCTCAGCTCAGTGCTGGCTATCACTTTTTTTTCTTACAAGCTCACCTAAGTCTGTGATCTGACTCTAGTGCTTCAAATTCTCTATCTGCAGAGCATTAGAGCAATTGATAGTACATTCTAGATCTCCAGCATGCTAACTAACACACTGCTCAGACTCCCAGGAGCACTCCACTGGCATTGTCCTTCTGGAGTGGAATTGGTTCCCAAGCTCAGTGAATGGTTTTATGTGTTGATAGTTTATCAGAAGGACGTTATCATTATCTGCCTCTTGGACTGAATACTGTATCTTGTATACTTTGGCCCTGTCTGGTTGTCACTTATGACCTAGCATATACAGGAAAATTAAGAATTAAAGCAACATTCAACCCATATTAGCACTTTATAATTTCTAAAGTTCCTTTCCTGTCTAATCCAGCTATTTCTACTCAGAAATTTGTTCCACCCACCTTTTTGGTGTCTCATAAATATTGTTACACAGTATGCTATACTATAGTGACGCTTCTGGGGGTTTCGAGGGGGTGTGTGGAAATGCTTTTTCTCTACATCAAATGGCTCCCACGCATTTTTGCTATTTGGGTTTTTAAGCCTGTTGTGTAGAGTTTTGGGTTCTTCTTCATTCTTACTGCTTAATACTGCCATTATGCTTATCTCTGCTGGCACTTTCTTCTCTTAGTAGTTAACTGCTTATAAAATGCCAGTTAAGAAGATAATTAAGCTTGCACGAACATGTTGTTAGACTTTATGAAAATAAGACAAGGTGGCATCTCTATGAGAGAAGAATTGTTTACTCAATCATTTTTACCTCTGTCTAAATTCTTGATTTAGAGTTTCTTGATTTTTGAGATCATGGGATAAGTAACCTTAAGCTATGGATAGTGTTTCTGTAGGTGTATTGACTATGATGCTTGGCCACTCTAATATACTGATGGTAGGTTTCCAGGTTTTTGACACGGATTAATATTCAATAATACATAATGCTTGTAAAAACTATGACCCAAATAGCTGCCTCCAGCTTTCGTGGCAGCTCTTGTGGTTAACCTACCCTCCTCCTCTTTCCTCTACACTCTACATTAAAATGCCCAAGATAGTTAAAAATTTTATTTTGAGATAAATTTTATTTTTGACCCAAAGAGGTTGTAAAATCATGCAGAGAGTTCCCATGGGCCCTTCATTCAATTCAGCTTCCCCCATGATAGCATACGTAACCATAGTACATTGCCCATACCAGGAAATTGATACTGATATACATTTCTGTTGAGTCTGGTACAGACCTTTTCCATATTCCACAAACTTTTAAATGCAGATCAAGAGCCTCAGTTTTGTAAGGTAGGACCCATGTTAGAAGGCAAGGAAGAGAATGATACTAAGAGTGTGAAACCAGAATCTAGAACAGGTGATTTAGAAGGAAAGAAGAGAGAGATTGGATGTACATGAATAACTTTTACCTCATCAAAATTAAACTGATTTGTTCCTCTTATTTTGCACCAAGGGAAAACAAGGTGCCTCAGGACCACCTGGCAGCAAAGGAGAAAAGGGTGACATGGTTGTATCGAGAGTGAAAGGTGAGCCTAGTCAATCACGTAGCTCCCTGCCATTCAGTGAATGATATAGAAACCATCCTCTTGCATTCATGCCCCTTGTGACCACAGATCAGTTCTCTAACAAGATTCAGGGTTGTTGAGATTGCTTAAAATATATTCCTTGCCCCTCACATTTCTTGTGAGAATGTTGAGCCTCAAATCGTCTATCCCTTATTTGAAAACATAAAAACCATATTCGAGTCCTCATTATTGTGAATCTGGGCTTGACACAAGACCACCTTTGACTTCCCAGTGTGTTATAACATCGTGTATTAATCAAGACTATCTTGGTCATGTCAGAAACCCAGCCTGAAGTCGTTTTAGAGAAAAAAAAGTAATTTATTGACTCAAACAAAATTTGAAGCAATAGATGTAGGGTTTGCACTGGGATGGCTGGATCCAGGAGATTCTTCCTGCATCTTGCATCTTTCATTACACCATCCGCATTTCTCCCCAAGACTAGCTTTCCTGGGCCGTGGGTATACTGCCCTTCCTGCCAGAAGCTCCAAGTTCTTACAAAAATAAAGAGAGCTCTACCTTCTCAGTTCTAGTTTGAAAAAAAAAAAAATTCAAGAAGTGGACTAGCCTGGGGGCAGCGCACAACCACAGACTGCCCCCCCCATTCACCATTGCCAGGGGACGGGGCACCATGTTTGGCGCCATACAAGCAGGGGCAGATGCTATTGTGACCGGTGCCTCCACACACAGCCTCCCTGGCAGAATGAGGAAAGGAGCACTTTCCAAATAAGAGAGTCAGTGGGTTTGGCAGTTGTTATTCTCCTCTACAACTTTTGCATGGTTGTCTTCGTGTGACTGTAGTCAGCTGAGACACTCCGAGGCGTCTCTACCAGCCCACACGGAGGCAAGGTCATTGTTTTTATTTTTGTCCTGTGTTTCCTTCTACTTCACCCACTGCAGAGAAGGGCTTGAATATCTTTTGGCCTTTGTTTCCAGGGCAGAAAGGAGAAAGAGGTCTTGATGGGCTCCCAGGATGTCCAGGACGACAGGGGCAACATGGTCAGGATGGACTTCCTGGAAAAAAGGGGGATCCAGGCCCCCCAGTATGTATAACTCTTCTTGGGCTATCGAGTTTCCTTTTCTTATATGGCCACGAAGCTTCTGTTTTCCCCTTCTCAATTTAAAACTATAATGCGGTCAAGTGTCAACGTGCTAGAAATCAGAGTTGCCTTCCAGTGACTGCCACGAAAAGATGATTGTTATCAAAGGTGTGGCATAATTGCAGATGGTCTGAAATCCTGAGTAGTGGTTTAGTTATGGCAAGACTCCCTGTCCTGTCTTCGGTCTTTGTGTCATTCTCATGGTGTGTGTCTCTCTCCGGGGCCCTCACATCTCCGAAGCCCCCAGTGACCTCAGGCCTGTTCAGTTAACTCTATAGGACAGAGGATAGAACACAGGTCCTGACAATGACCTTCGGTTCTGTCCCCAGGTGAAGAGGCACATGAGGGGAGGTGGCAAGCAAGGGAGGGTCAACTAGTGCAAATCCCCTGAATTTTTACATATTGGCTGATGGGACATCCCACTGACAAGTGATATTTCTGCATTTTTCAAACACGTTTTGGGTGGAGACCCTGTGTAGGTAACAGAGGTCATAAGAAAAGACTATGAGACATGATCCAGTGCTAAGGAACTTAAAATATCTTGGGTACATGAGGCATTTTTGATTGCTTGCAATGTCACAGGAACTGAACTAGGTGTTTCATGCATATCATCAATCTTCTGAAGAGCAATTCGCTTCCAGATTTTACCATCAGAAATGGAGGCTAAGGGTATGTTACTCCAGGTCACCTACCTATCAAGTAGGCTAAACTAGAGCGAAAACCCCAGTCAGTCTTACGCCCCCCCACCAGCATATAAGTGTTTGTAAACATTTATGTAAAATATGAATAAGAAGCTGAGTTAATCATTTAAAATTACGTTTGCTACTGAGTCTCCTGGAATTATGAGGTTTTTCTGTGTGTTCCTATAGCTTATGACAATGAGTGCTTTGAACTCATGGACTAGCAAAGATTGCTAACTGACTCATGGTGCAAACATTCCCAGGGGGATCATGAAGACGCATTCCCAGGTGATGAAGGGTCTCCTGGACCGCCGGGCCCCCCGGGCAGAGCAGGACCTCAGGGACAGCCAGGTTTGGGATTTCCTGGCCCACCAGGAGAGAGAGGGCCACCGGGAGCTCCAGGCCGCCCTGGCGAGAGGGGCCTCGAGGGCTTGAAGGGTCAGAAAGGTAATTTTGAATGTTTTGTGTTACAGAATGGCAAGGGAAATAATGGAAGCTAAGGTGATCCTCTCTCCCGGGCAAAGTTATTATAGCTATGGTTAGAACTGCTAAATAACATTCCTTCTAGCTGTTGTTCAAACCTTGATTGTTGTCTAATAAAAACATTATAGCGCAATCAATATTTAAAACAAATTCTTAAAATACTAAAATGTCTTTGTTGCTATATTTGTCTGGCATAGCAAAATTGCCTGTCATTCATTTCTCAGTACCAATGCGTGCAATCTGTATTAAATTTACATACGTATTCAAAATATCTATTTGTTTACAATCTTTTGAGACAGTGTGGTGTATCTTAATAAAAAACACTAGTATTTCACTTTAAAAATACATCATTGTCCTTGAAAACCCATGTGTAAGCATTCTAGGAAGAAAAACAAGGAAGGGATTTCAAATATATTTGACAGTTATCTGAATTTAAACAGTAAAGTGACTTGCAGTATTAGAGCGGAAAGCTTTTGAAAAGCCTAGAGAAAGATTTATTTAAGATTTTTCTCCTTTGTAACATGTACATATGCCTTGGGTTACATTATTAATTGTGAAGTTTTAGAATTGAGATAGTATCGTTGGTTCTTGCTTTGAAAACATAGGCAATAATTTGGTCCTCAATAAGGCTTAAGGTTATGTTCTGGATCCATCAGAATCTAACATTATTTTTATTCAGTTGATACATTTTTGATTTGAGAGCATATGAAGTGATACATTATAATCCATTCGTTCTCTTATAAAAGAGAAACATTCCATTTCAAAGGGGGAGGGAACCAAGAGGCACAAGCTTTGGAGTCTTCCTGTCTTCACCAGCGAAAATGGGGGGGTGACAGTGACCACAGTGCAGGGTCATTAACAAAACCAAGAGACGATACATGTGAAGGCCCAGATCCATGGCAGACCCTCCGGAAATGGCAACTGGCATTGATACCTCACCGAATGTCCGCATCTTCACAGCCCTCCCACACCCAAACCAGAAGTCCAGTCCTCTGAGCTCACTCTTCGATGTCACTCCTACTTCATGATTTGCCAGGTCTTCCGATTCCATTGTATTGGGTATCATTGGGCCTGTCAATACATTATTTTTTTTTCTAGGCTATTAAAACTGATACTTCTTGGGATTTTCCTTATTCCCCTTATGTTCATAGCTGTCTGAGAGTTGAAGCTCAGATTTCAGGACCCATCTTTTAGAAATTCAGAGTAAAGTAGTTCAGATGATCTAAGGATACTTGGGAGTCTTCTTTTCCCTTGAGATCCACATATACAATATGAAAAAATATCTTGATTGAGTTATCATTGAGATTGACTTTACGTGGGGTTATTGGTTGTGTGAACGCCACTTTGTTTGTTTGTTTTCATTCCAGGCGATACAATTTCTTGTAACGTCACCTACCCTGGGAGGCCAGGGCCCCCAGGATTTGATGGGCCTCCAGGTAGGATCAATGAGAAATTGCTGTTTTACACATTCCCCAGAGTAAAGGAACTGGTAAGACAGATGAACCGATAGTTAATCATCTGGCAACTAGTGAGGATAATTATCATCAGGTTTTGAGGGACTCTGGGAAAACAGCATTTGTGGTAAGTCACACTGGGGCTCAAGTCTACTGGTTTGGACATACTCTAGGTGGGGTTGTTTGTTTTATTTTTTTAATCTCTATGCAACAAAATTTACCTTGATGTGATCACGTATCAGTAGAAACGTCTGCCCTTTGAGGATTTTAAAACTGTACCTTCTTTCTTTTCTTATGCCCCAAGAGTGAAAAATGATAATGTGTTTAGTGATTGTAAATTTTACTCTATTCTGCTTTCCAAGCCTCAAGGGATGTGAACACTCAAATTTTAAGATGGCAGTTATACCTCCTTTAAAGTTATTTTAGCTGAGAGAACTTCCAGTAGGAAATCACAGAACGTTTAAAAAAAAAAAAATCTCGGTTCCTTTTGCAGGTGCTTCTTGCCTGTACGTCCTTTGAGGGCAATATAGTAAGGTGCAGGGAAATAGATTTTGGCCTTTATCCCGGTGGTTTCTTAGCAGGCCACATGCTGGCTGCCATCTCCTTCCTCCTGCAAGGAGGAGCTATGCTTGAATATTTGTGTTGAGACGCAGCATGGGAAGGCACCAAAAGATTCATCAGAGTGGTGGTATATGTCTCAAAGGCTTTTAGGGAGAATCCTTTAAAGTATGGCTTCTGAGAAAGTGCATTAACAAAATCACTCTCTTTGGAACACTTACCTGGAGCACACGATTCATAAAATGATTATGTAAACCAGGTGAGGCGACATCATTACTTACAAAGGTAGAAATACTCTGAAAAAGACAGCATAGATTCTTTTTAAATCAGTTGATTTTGTTCTCATTTGATTTGTGTTTTATTGAGCCTGTGTTTTGTTATTATTATTTAGGACCAAAGGGATTTCCAGGTCCTCGGGGCACTCCGGGGTTGAGGTGTTTGGATGGGCAAAAAGGTCAGCGTGGCAAACCAGGAATATCAGAAATACCTGGTCCACCTGGTAAATAAGTGTTTTTCATTTAAGAATGTGTATATGCCTCCTAAACTCAATGAGCTTAGTAAGCAGATGGCCCAGGGAGCCCTACATAATGGCGGGGGGGTGTTTTCTCTTGAAACCTTAAGCTCTTAGCTATGTTTTGATAACTTTTAGGTGCTGGTAATTTTGTAAATTCTCAGGGCTCCTTCTACCTGAAGCATGAGTTCCAGCCTATTATTGGTCTGTTATTTGATAGAAACTGCTCAGTCCAGACAGACTGTCAGTGAATGAAAGCAATGAGGGAAACATCGTTGGCTTCTAGGAGATACAAAATCACAATGTATTTTCTTACAAAAGGTGGCAAAGCAACATTGCCTAGTAAGTTACTCTTAATTTTAGTTAATACTCTTGTATTTTTAAAAAATGTGTTTTTATCATAGTATTAGCTTCCCATTCGTATTGGTTCTATATTTGTACATTTAAAAATTTAAACTATGTTTTTCAATAGGGTTTCGTGGTGAAATGGGCGATCCGGGTTTTGGAGGTGAAGAGGGGTCCTCCCTTCTTGGGCCCCCAGGCTTGCCCGGTTCTCGTGGAGCAAATGGTCAGAAAGGAGTCATGGGAGACACTGCCTATGGCCAACCAGGTGCCCCAGGAAAGAGAGGTCTTTCAGGAGTGCCAGGGGCCGAAGGACACAGAGGTGACCCAGGACCTCCAGGTTTTGCAGGTATGAGGGCCGCTCTGTCCCTGTGGTTCGTAAAGCTGGCTCAGCTCTGGAACAGGTCACTGAAGAGTCTTTAGACTATCTAGCCATAGAAATCTAGAATGCAAAATTTCCCCCCTAACATCGTCCCTCATAAGTGAGCCCTGGTCACATTTCAAGGAACCTGCATCCATAGCACTGCCTTTGCATCTTAGGGGTTGTTTTCAAATTCAGGGCAGCCCACTGTGGCTCAGTCCATTCAGGTTGATTCCGCAGCTCCTGGACATCTGTCTGCTTCGGACTCAGGATAGCGTGTGAGCACTGTAAACGCCCAAGGAGCAGGCACCGGATCACCTGCCCACTGCCAAGGCCAGGTTGAAGGAGGACAGACTGCAAGAGGAGGCGCAGCTCAGCGGGGGGGCAGAGCAGTGTGCGACGGTGTTCAGGGAAGCTGACTGTGGGCTGGGCCCTGGCAGGCACACTGTGTTATTTGGACAGGTGACAGGGTGGAGGGACTCTCATTCCAGCAGGGGCAGCGGGCGAGGAAGGTGGGAGGATGGTCCTGGCACTGACTTACATCTGTTTCCAAAATCACTAAGGATTCCTCAGGATCCTCAGTACAAGTCTTTAATGTATTTAACAGGAACCCTGGGCCAGGGTCCTTAAAAATCATCATCTTCGGGGCCCCAGTCTCAGGAATTTTGATTCATTACATCGGAATTGGCTGGGTCCCAGCAGTCCAGCCCCTTGGGTGATGGTGACCAAGAGTGGACCCCAGACCAGACTTTTACAAACACTGTTCTGGTTCTTTTCGAACAGTAGACGGGACAGTATTTATTAGGTATCCGCAATCATATCCTAGTACAGAGCAAGTGGAGGGCAGGGGACTGAGTCACCTTCTCTGTCACCGGGGAACTTACTCACTCTGTAGTTGGTAAGTCAAAATATTCAATACAAAACCTCAATTAGTTGGAAAGTAACAGGAGAATACATTCTGTGAGTCAATGAAAAATATTTTGACTTATTAATCCTACTCTCTCACTTATGACAATGTATCTAAGGAAAGTGTTCAGCAGAAGATAAACGTTATTGTGAAAATACTCTTGTATCATCCACAATAGGTGAACAAATGGGAACAATAAAGAGAGTTAAGTAATATACACACACACTCAAAGGAATACCATTCAGCTATTTTCAACTAAAATTTTATTTATAAAGAATATAACAAAGTGGAAAAGATTTGCAGATTAATATGCAATGTGAAATAATCCAACAATTGTGTGCTGTGATTACTACTTGAAAAATGTAAACATATGAACAGAAGTATAATGAAAACATAGAAAAATAGAATAGACTTTTAGGTTAGGGCATGGGATGATGGGGCGATTGATTTTTTTTTTCCTGAAAATTATTACTCTGCCTTTCCAATATATAGAAATTTAAGAGTTCAAGCGATGAAATAGCTTACAAAAAGCACATCCATAAACTGCAAACCGGGTGTGTAAGCACTGTGGAGATTTGGTGTAATGTGAGAGGTTAATTAAAATCAAGAAGAACTGCATGGTGTTTAAATTTGCCCAAGCAACTTCTTTGTTGCCTACGCAACCGTAACAAGTAACTCTATTAGTAATGCATGGTTTTCCCATTCATTTGGAGCTCACTACCATCCAGGATAAGAAAATCCTTTGAGAGACTTCGCTCGTTTGAGCCCTGAACTGGATGGAAATGCTTGTTTCTGGTATTGCTACGCATGCCCCCGTTGTGGTAGGCTGACTCCCTAGTTTCATACCAAGAGTGTCACGAGTGCGTTGTATCATTTCAGGGCCAGCTGGTAGGCCGGGATTCCCAGGTCTCAAAGGTCCCAGAGGCAGAGAGGGAAGTGCTGGGTTTCCAGGAATCCCAGGTCCACCTGCTCATTCCTGCAAAGGAGGCGCCCCAGGGATAGCAGGACCACCGGGAGTCCCCGGGGCTCCAGGCCAACCAGGTAAGTGTGAGCATGCACCAAGCCCTGTGAAGAGTCTGGGACTTGACCCTACTTACAGAGGAATGAGCCCACCTGCTGCTCTTTTATGGAGCAGCACAACCAAGACCCTGCAGCAGAGATGAAGGACTTTCCTGTTCTAGAACGGCAAGTGGCATGTGCTTCCTGGTCGTTCGGGTCATTTCCCCTTGTCACCATAGTCTCACGGGGACACCGAAGTGGGGCTTGGGGATGTTGCACACTGCACGCGCAGTGGGTCCCAGGATCCACGAGGAGCACTGAGCCTGGGGAGCTGCTGCTTTATAGCTGCGGGCAGGACAGCCTGCTCCTTATGCTGGGGCAGGTGCTGTGTCATCCGTGGGCAGCACACACAAGCTTGAGAGCTAGCCCAATTCTAGCCCGTAAAGAGCGGCCAGGACCTTGTATCTTTGGTGCACCCAGCAAGACATGTAGGGGCTCAAGAGACCCAGGAAGAAGTGTGTCTCAACCCAAGGTGCTAGAGGGCTGTTTCCAGTGTGATCTTCATTTCACCATTTGGTTTATCACCTGTTATTTAAATCCTATTGCATTTATCCAAAAATGGCAGCAAAATGCCCTCTGAATGGATCAAAATGAGATTGGAGCAAACCCTGCCACTACAGCTTTATTTCTAGCACCAGTAAAAACTAGATGATGTTGCTGTGATTTCTACAGTTCTCTCTGGTGAACAACCTGACCAAGTTCACTTGGCCAGAGCTGCAGGAAACATCTGGAAAGTTTGCTTCCATTGGTTTCAAGAGTAAATACAAATAATATTTTTGTTCTTCACCCTTACCCACTTTCCATTTTTATTTTTTATTTTTTTTAATTTTTATTTATTTATTTGAGAGAGTGAGAATGGAGAGAGAGCATATGAGAGGGGGAGGGTCAGAGGGAGAAGCAGACTCCCCGCTGAGCAGGGAGCCCGACGTGGGACTCGATCCCGGGACTCCAGGATCATGACCTGAGCCGAAGGCAGTCGCTTAACCAACTGAGCCACCCAGGCGCCCGCCACTTTCCATTTTTAAAATGCCCACTTTCCATTTTTAAAATGCTCTTTATAGTAATCGTGTATCTCTACTGGGAAATATTTATTCAAGCAATGTGCCTTTCTTTTTATAGCAGCCAGAAAAAAGACATTCTGAGGCTGATGGAGAATTGCCACTGTGGGTTGAGCTGATAAACATTGTTTGTTTCATAGGAACGGATACACAATTTAAGCTATCGGAAACTTTTTTTCCTGCCTGTGTGTGAAGCCGGTGTTAGGTCTTCACATGTTGCTGTGCTTGTGTTTTTTCTCAGGTGCCCCAGGTTGGAAAGGACAGCGAGGGGATGTGGGGCCTCCTGGTCCATCTGGAATGAAGGGCCTCCCAGGAGTCCCGGGACGGCCAGGGGCACATGGTCCCCTAGGACTTCCAGGTGTCCCAGGCCCTTCAGGGGATGATGGACTGCCTGGTCTTCCAGGCCCAAAGGGTGGGTAGCGCTCTTCCATTATTTACCCCGATTTTATAAACTTGAAATCCACTGCCAGGTGAAGACTATTACATACGATCATACTATTGAATTACTGTTATTTCAGCCTGATTTTGTCCTTCTCTTAGTGACAGCTCCCTTCTTCTTATCCCCTATATTGGTATTTCCAGTGGCAGAATGTTTTGGCGTATGTAAATGGGAGAAGGTGCGTAGGGAGATTAAGCCCACAGCACCCACAAACACTTCTGCTCAACACACTAGGTAGAGCAGATCCGGTGTCGGGTCAGGGCTAATGTACTTCCACATCAGATGAGCCCCCACCCGCCAACCCCCCATCCCCCCCACGTCTTAAAGCATTATAAGATCAGGACTCAGAAACGTAAAGGCCCCCAGCCCTGTGGGGTGGAAAGCTGAGTAGGAGGGCACAGCCAATACATGCGGCGGGGCTGATAGCAGTGGTTCACCTTCAGTACAAACTGAGGTCCGAGGGAGGGCAAATCTCCACGCCGACGACAAGGAACACAGACCTAAGAAGCATGCTAGCTTTTAAAATGACAAATTCATGTTCTCATTTCATCAGGATCCCAGGGGCTGCCTGGCTTCCCCGGTTTCCCGGGGGAAAGAGGAAAGCCTGGCCCCGAGGGACGTGCTGGCCGGAAGGGGGACCCGGGAGAGGACGGTCGGCCTGGCTTCCTCGGAGACCGTGGGGTGAAAGGTGCCAAAGGTAAATGCACTTGACCGCACGATGATGCCACATCGGTGGTTTTGGTATTTGATCAGAACGTGTAGAGATGGTCTTTGAAAAATAAATGGGACTGTCCTGCAGCTTGGATTCCTCTTCCTTTTGGATTGCTGGTGTTTGTTTTAAAATCTTAAACCAAATTCATTTTCCAACCTCTCAGTCTTATTGCATATAACTGATAAATGAATTGCTCTATTAATAGAAAAAAATAACAAGTGCTTTGATACATGGCTATTGGGTTGGAAAGAACCTTCTCACCGGTTGGGAAGGGGGTGAGGCCCCTAGTCTCTGTTTCAATCTTTTCTTTTTTTTTTTTGTAAAAAAAAAAAAATACTTTTTTTTTGGTAAAGAGCCAGATAGTAAATATTGCAGGCCCCTCTCATCCCTGTTGAAACCACTCAGCTCAGCTTCTGTAGCATGGAAGCAGCCAGAGATTGCATGGAAACACGCTAATATAACTTACATTCCAATGGAATTTTCTTCATGGACACTGAAATTTAAACTTCATTTATTTCACGTCACAAAATGTTATTCCCATTTTGAGTTCTATCCCCTAATAATTTAAAAGAGTAAAAACCATAGCTCACGGATTATACGTAAACTGGCCACAGGTGGGATTTGGCTCTCAGGTTGTAACTTGCCAACCTCTGAAATAGAGTAAGTCCACTTTCATCTGAGCCATGAGTTATGCCTTCCCGGCTTCCTTTAAAGGAAGAGTTTTCAGGGCACCCTGGTGCCTCAGTCGGTTAAGTGTCCGACTCTTGATTTTGGCTCAGGTCATGATCTCGGGGTCCTGAGACCCAGCCCTCTGTCAGGCTCCAGATTCAGTGGGGAGTAAGGCGGTCCTGTTTGAGATTCTCTCCCTCTCCTTCTGCCTCTCTGCCTGCTCATGCTCTCTCTCTCTCTCTCTAAAATAAATAATAAATCTTTAAAAAAAATGAAAGTTTTCAAATAAATAAAATCTTAAAAAATAGTTTTCCTTACTATTAAAAAATAAAGAATTCTAGATTACTGGTATAAATGTTCTGTGTCCATCCCTATTACATATTTACTTTTACCACTTAGCTAGGAGGCCACAGTGAGTGAAGGTAAAATCTCATTTCCAGTATCGAGAATGAATGCTTGACAATTTGAGAAACAAGTTTTTTGTCCTTAAAGCCCATTGGATAAATAGCCTCTTATATAATTTAAATTACTTTTACTTCTCAGTGGATTGATTCTGCTCTTATTTTTGTTTTACTAGCCTGTAAATTTTTTTATAAAAGAATCAAGGGATCAGAGTCACTCTTAGCTAGCTTAGATTAGGTGATGTTTGCTATGCTAGTATGGTCTCCAAAATAAAACAAATTTAAGAAACTGATATTACACTGTACGTTAACTAACTGGAATTTAAATAAAAACTTTTTAAAAAAATGCCCTGATTTGTGTTTGCTCCCGTGGTGGAAATACTCCCACCATGGCTGATTTAAAGCTGCCAGCACTTTAATAACTGGTTTACAAAAATCTTGGCTTATTAATAATTGGCTCTCACCATGCTGGTATGAGCCCACTTGAGCACTCTTCTACAACTGGACAGTGGTTACAAAACTCAGGTAGAAATACCGTATATTCTTCCTACCTTTCAGAATTCTCTATGTGGAGAAGCAAGTTGAAATAAATGTTCTTTTAATGTAAGGAAAACAATAGAGGCTGGGAAGGGAAAGACAGGGAACTGTAAAATATGAGATGGGAAGTTCATGTTTTACTGGATGAAGAGACATATTTTAGATTTGGGACTTTTCAAGCCTATCTGTTTTCACCTAAAACTCGGAGACCCATTTTGCTGAATTTAGCAAATATCCACTGATCACTGCCTGTACTCCAGACCCTGTTGCTGGACACATTGGGAGGGGGATGTAAAAAGGTATGGCCCTTCTTTTGGGAAATCCACTGACAGTGATACTGTGCAAGCTATAAACATAAATATGGTTTAGGAAATGAAATGTGGATTTGCAAACTGGACCTGAAGTGTCGTAACAGAAGAATCACGTGTGTGGTGCTTCTGTTTGTTCTTCTCTTGCATAATTAATATCTGAAGGAGAGAGAGGACCCCCAGGAGATGAAGGAGAGATGGCTATCATTTCCCAAAAGGGGAAAACTGGGGAACCCGGACCTCCGGGAGATGATGGATTCCCAGGAGAAGAAGGTGGGTAAAGCTCATTCTTTTTAACTGTATCAAATGAGTTGGCCTTTCTAGATCATTCAAAGAAGCATGCATAAGGGGCAGCTTTCCTAATAACGCTGAGATTGGAGAAGGTCACTTTTTTTAGATACAAATATACCCGGATTAACCTCGTGCTGCATTTTTCCTTGGCTTTTCCATGCCAGAACTTAGTTAAAGTTCATACATATGTATAGATTGGATATTCCAAACTAGGATCAGTCCTCAGATTGTACATCTAATACCAGTTCCAGCTTTCCAGTACCCCCAGCTGTGGTGACTGGTATTAAAACAAGTAACACAGTGATGACTGTCCAGGTCGTTTGACCCATGCTTCTCCATCTTCCGCCTGCCCACAAACCCCTGGGGCTCTTGTGAAAATGCGGATTCTGGATTGGCAGGTCTGGGGCAGGCCCCACTCTGCTTTTCTAACAAGCACCCCAATGCCTGTGCTCCCCAGAAACAGAACGTGGCAAGGATTTTGGCCACCACGTTTGTATTCTCTTGCCCCCCAAGTTCAGGTTTAGTCCGCGTGAGGCCCGGGCTCTTGTCTTGGCTCCCTCCTTAACTAGTTGTGAGGGGGCGAATGCTTTCTAACTGAGCTAGGTAAGTTCTTCATTTGTGAGACGAGCGTGTGACAAAGCAGATGGGTGACCCTGCAGGCTCATTTCCTCCCTTGGAGTCCCTTCCTTCCTCCCTGAGTCAGTTCATGGGCGCTTCTTTCCCAGTGAGGTCACTGAAGCCCAAAACCATCACGATGGGGGCTTAGGGCAGGAACCAGGACTCCCCAAAACCTTGGGCTTCGTCTCCTAAATAGAGGACCCAAACCCTCAGCCTCACTACTGCCCCACCCAGGATTTCCTCCAAGAGGTTTGTCACCCTTGTAACCCCACCAGGTGATAAAGGCGATCCTGGGATGCAGGGCAGGAAAGGAGAGCTGGGAAGACACGGAGCACCTGGATTTCACAGAGGGGAGCCTGGTAGAACTGGGCAGCCAGGGCTTCCTGGCTCTGCAGGCCCCCCAGGCTCCCCTGGGCCAAGAGGGATTATTGGTTTTCCGGGATTTCCAGGTGACCAGGTAAGTGGCTTTGGTTGGGGAGGAAAGAAATAGTACAACCCTTTTGCTCTTGGATGCCCATAGGAGTCATAATTTGCCAGTGTACATCATTGCTCTTTGACTGGCTTTTAGAATGTAAGCGAAAAGAATGGAAGCTTCTGGAAGGCCATGGTGTGACTATAATTTCTGAGCAGTGCTCATGCCTGTTTTCTCGTGACGGATGACGGAGTCACTCACTCCGCATACTACCCTCCCCCACCAAGCCGTTTAAACAGCTCTACAGAAACTTTCCTCATGACTACTGGTTTATCAGAGTACAGAGTCTTCTGAAAAATAACCCAAATTCCAGTGTCTAAATCTTCCTATCTGGTTGCAGATATCACAGATTTTGCTGTAAATACCTTTGGTCTTTAAAACCATGAGTAAAATACCCCACTGAGAAGCCAGGAGGTACAATATGTGTCATAGCCTACATCACAACTTCTAGAAGATGAATATAATTTACCACCCATCTTTTGGAATCAAATAGATTTTTCAAGTTTTTGGTAAAAAAAAAAAGTCTTCTAACATTTTATTTGGTATTAATTTGCTCATTCAAACCTCAAGATTCAAATTATGTGATAACATTTACTGTTTTGTAATCAAAAATAGAGAATTGGATGCTCCCTGTTGGTACCTCTAATACTGGAGTTTTAGTCACTTTTTAAAAAGCTAGACACATGTATTAGTATGCCTGCGATGCACTTCTGATTTTCTTTACCACTGCGAATATATGGAAATTGGTTATGGAAGATTATAACTGGATAATGTTATGAATATGTCATTTGTATTTGAAACCAAATTAAAGTCTTTTGTTAAACTGTCAGGGTGAGCCAGGTTCTCCAGGGTCCCCCGGACGTTCAGGAATTGATGGAATGAGAGGACCTAAAGGTATGCTTTGGACAGACGGCAGCCATCCACCAAGTTCATAGTCCTGGGTGTTTGTAATATTGTGAGCATGCACATTTGGTATGAAAATTAAAGTATATCCAACAAACTGCAACATCCAAGGGCTTCTTTTTTACTTTTTCTTTTTTAAGTTTTTATTTAAATTCCAGTTAGTTAGCATACAGTGTAATATTAGCTTCAGGTGTATAATACAGTGATTCAACACGCCCATACATCCCCCGGTGCTCGTCACAAGTGCCCTCCTGCACCCCCATCTCCTATTTCACCCATCCCCCACCCACCTCCCTTCTGGTAACCAGCAGTTTGTTCTCTGTAGGTAAGAGGCTGTTTCTTGGTTTGCCCCCCTTCTCTCTCTTTTTCCCCTTTGCTCATTTGTTTCTTAAATTCCACATATGAGTGAAATCATATGGTATTTGTCTTTCTCCGACTGACTTATTTCACTTAGCATAATGCCCTCTAGCTCCTTCCATGTCGTTGCAAATGGCAAGATTTCATTCTTTTTACGGCTGAATAATATTCCATTGTGTGTGTGTGTATATATATATATATATATACCACATCTTTTTTATCCATTCATGAAATGCTAGATGCTTGGACTGTTTCCATAGTTTGGTTATTGTAGACAATGCTGCTATAAACATTGGGGTGCATGTATCCCTTTGAATTAGTAGTGTATTTGGGGGGTAAATACCTAGTAGTGTGATTGCTCGATCATAGGGTAGTTCTACTTTTAACTGTTTGAGGAACCTCCACACTGTTTTCCAGAGTGGCTGCCCCAGTTTGCATTCCCACCAACAGTGTAGGAGGTTTCCCCTTTCTCCACATCCTCGCCGACACCTGTTGTTTCTTGTGTTGCTGATTTTAGTCATTCTGACAGGTGTGAGGTGATATCTCATTGTAGTTTTGATTTGCATTTCCCTGACAATGAGTGATGTTGAGCATCTTTTCATGTGTCTGTTGGCTGCCTGGATGTCTTCTTTGGAGAAACGTCTCTTCTTGTCTTCTTCCCATTTTTAAATTGGATTATTCGTTTTGGGGGGCATTGTAAGGGTTTTGATATATTTTGGATTCTAATGAATTATTCATTATGGGGGTTTTGTAAGTTCTTGATATATTTTGGGTACTAACCGAGGGGTTCTTCTTAGATTCTGTTAGATAGTCAAACACTCAAGACCCAAATCATCCACATGTGTCATTCAGACCCGAGGGTAGCAGGTAGAGAACAGCATGCTTGCGAGCACACAGCTCTCTCTCCTCAGTGGGGGTCCTTGAGCAGTCTGTGTGGTGACTGAAACTTCCTAAGTGGCAGCTCAGGTACAAGGAGACCAGACCCACATTGGTGGGCAGCGTCTACCTTGGCTTGGAAGGCTCCTGCCCCACAGGACGCAATGTCTCTTCTAAAGACGGTATAAATAGGGCTTTTAGGTTCCCAGTGACAAGAGTCACAGTACACAGAGAAGGTCAGAGCCGTGACTTCCCTCCAGGTGTTAATACGTCACTTAAGAATTTCTGGGCCACATTTAATTTTCAGTTGGGTTATTTTTACCGTAAGCCAAGGGTCAACAAATGTGTTTTTTTCAAGGGTTCAGATCACAAATATTTTCAGCTCTCTGGGCTCTGTTGCAGCTACTCAACTGTGCATGAAAGCAGCCAGACAATATGCAAACAAGGGGTGTGGCTGTGTTTCGTTAAAAATTTATTTACAGAAAGCTACAGGTTAGATTTGGCTTCATAGTCTTGGTTTACCTTGTGCCAAAAACAATGCTGCCTCGTAACACAGCTGACGTTCTACTTTAATCAGATTTGTAGGGAAACAGAAACACAAAGTTACCTGTGGATAAAAATATTCTTCGAGGTTTCATTTAACTTTTATTAAGACAAACAGGCAAACAAAAATCAGGATATCTTAAACTGTGATGTTTACATAAACTCTTTTTTTTTTTTAAGATTTTATTTATTTATTTGACAGAGAGAGACACAGCGAGGGAGGGAACACAAGCAGGGGGAGTGGGGGAGGGAGAAGCAGGCTTCCCGCGGAGCAGGGAGCCCGATGTGGGGCTCGATCCCAGGACCCTGGGATCATGGCCTGAGCCGAAGGCAGACGCTCAACCAACTGAGCCCCCCAGGCGCCGCTTACGTAAACTCTTTAACATTGTTACTGTCCTTGTATACCAGTGGGTTAATATTTTTCTTTAAATCTATTTAAATATGATTCACTGTTTTAACCTTAGCTTTAACCTCACTATCTGTGAATTCCCAGGTTTGATGAGCAGTTATATTTGACTTTATACAGACGAAAATGAGTAACTTTAAAATATAAGAGTAGGGGCACCTGGTTGGCTCAGTTGGTAGAGCATGTGACTCTTGATCTCAGGGTGTAAGTTTAAGCCCCACGTTGGATGTAGAGATTACTCAAAAATAAAATCTTTAAAAAAACACAATGAAATATAAGAGTAATTAATGAACCACCTAAAAATCTCCTCCCTTACCACAAAATGCTTTTCATTTTGAGAGACACTCCACAGGTAATATGATAATTGCTATAAGAAAAAATGAACTGTGCACCTTATTTTTTCAGAAGGAATAATCTATTTTCCTCAGGAATAGTTACAAGTAGGGAAGTTTTCATATTTGAGGTGACATTTTATAGCTTCATGGTTTAAAATTCAGTCCTCTTCTACTTCCCTATGCATTTATTGTAGTCCCTTTGCCTCTCTCAAAGCACAAACCTACCTCTTCTGATGTTCTTCATTCTTGCATCTGGCCATGTTTGCAAGGAACTGAAATGCACTCGTGGTCCCTGGAGTAAAAGCGGTCTCATGAAGTCCACCCTAAGGCTAATGAAACCCAGCCCTTAGGAGAAACCTATGGTTTCTCTCTTGAGACTGTTCTGCTTTTCTTTATGGGCTGGCTTTTACTTACCTGCCAACTGGCTTCATCACCAGTATCCTTTCTGGATCTTTCTGGATATGTCTGGGTTGCAAACATGTTCTGCATCAAAGCATCATGATAACGACATCGTGATGATCCTTTTGGTCTCTGCCTCAATAACCAACGACCTCAAACTCTTGCTTTTTATCCCAACTTGTCAAGGAAAGACTTGTTGACCCGAGATGGCCCAGATTTCTACCCCTCCAAACCACAACTATGAGTAGGGTCAGGTGGAAGAGAAACTTCCACAAATGTGGGTGGGGCCCCTTTGAAAGGGGTGTGGGTAGGAAGCTATAATAAATCATACCTAATTGACTCTTACTCTCTCTTGTAACCCCATCTGTTGTCTTGCCCGTCCCTGCCACACCATTTTGAGACCCCCATTTATAACTGGCCCCCAGATAGAAGTCCTGTGTCGGGAGGAGCACAGCCACAATGGAGCACAGCCCTGTGGCACTGTAGGAACCATTGCCTGCCGTGGCCTGTGAACACGTGGTCTCTTGTGAAGTCATCAACAAAGTGTGCCTTTGTAATTTTGTTTTTACAAGGACACTGAGTTGAACTTCCTTGCAGAGGGCTTAAAATGTGATTACAGCAGCTAAAACAGGGGCAATTTCTGCTTTTTGTTTCTAAAACACCATATAAGAATATAGTCAATCAGTACTAAGTAATTTCTTAAATAGATACCTAAATTTGAAACTATTTTTGGGAACTTAAAAACTCAAACTTATTAAGATCTGTAGTTTCTTATGACTGTTATGAACTATAAAAATGGTGTGTGTGTGTGTGTGTGTGTGTGTGTGTGTGTGTGTTTAAATCACATCTTGCCTCTATGTTTCCATTTGTTTTTATATAGGAAAAAAAGCATTTTTTCAAAAACTCTTCTGTAATATTCGAAGATAAATTATAAAGACAAATATGACAGTTATTAAGTCATGTGTATGAAACAGAATTAAATTCTCTTAAATAATGTTATGTGCATTTTATCACTTACAGGAGACAAAGGTGACCCTGCAAGTCAGTTTGGCTCACCTGGTCCAAAGGGTGAACCAGGTAGCCTTGGATGTCCAGGTATAGCCACATGTTTCTCTTATTAAAACAAAAAAGAATAGGGGCGACTGGTTGGCTCAGTCAGTTGAGTGTCTGCGTCTTGGTCTCACCCAGGTCTTGAGCTCAGGGTCATGAATTTGGGCTCCATGTTGGGCATGGAGCCTACTTAAAAAGCAAGCAAACAAAACAAAACAGGATAAATTTAGTTTGAAAAGTAGAGCAATTACTTTGTACTCCTAGCCGACAATAATTATATCAATATTTTCTTCCCCCCTTTACACACTAAGATACATCCTGAGGGATTATGTATAAATGCTGCTACCACATCCTTGGCCTAGAAGGACATCAGGATTATATGCCAGGGATTCTCAGGCTTTTTCCACCGTGGCTCACATGACCTATGATGTTGACATAACAATTCATTCCCCTTGGCATGCCCAGATTTTGACATGGTCAGAAATGATTATTACAGGCAACTAAACGCTGAACTATTTCACAGTCTCTAGAATTATAAATGATACGTTAGCAGTAACCATTCACACTGACCACAGCCTCAGGTTGTCATTCCTGCCCTTTCTTTCCTACTCAGAAAATCATATGTGAATGCCAGTGAGGAGTGCCATTGTGGAGCTATCATTGAATATCTCATTTACTAAATATCTAATTTACTAAAAACCAAACCAAAAAAAAAAAAAAGTAAAATTTCACCACCAACAATGAATCTAAATTGTTCAAAATGGTACTTTGTTTATCAGTGATGAGTGACATGTAATCCCTCAGAACGGATTACGATGTACCTGTGATCTTTTGCCATCTGCTCAAGGCTGCGGCTGGCTCCAGTACATGACCCACCGTTGATGAAATATACATGCCTTTTAGCTTAGTAATTTTACTTGTAAGAATTTATCTGAAGTCAATTATCAGACAAATGTATAAAGATACATGCACAGGAATATTCATTGCATGGAAAGAACAAATACCACTCACAAATGATAGATTAGAGAAGTACGCACGATCTCATTCAGCTGGTAGTGGATGGGTTTCGATGGGTCCCTTGTAAGTTAAAATATCTCCTATTAATAGTTTTGTGCATTTTTTAAATTTATGTATTTGAGAGAGCGAGGGAGAGTGGGAGGAGGGGCAGAGGGAGAGGGAGAGAGAGAATCTCAGGCAGACTGCCCACTGGGCTTGGAGCCCCACTCGGGGCTGGATCCCAGGACCCTGACATCATGACCTGAGCTGAAATCAAGAGTCAGCCACCCAACTGACTGAGCCACCCAGGTGCCTGTCGTTTTGTGCATTATCTTAAAATTATCTTCGACATTAGTCATGTTTCATTACATACAACAGAAAGAATATATGAGCAGAAGTATTATCGGAAATTTTTGTTTGTTTTTATGCCATAAGATTGCTAAAATAGAAGTCCAGCAGAAGAACAAGCTATTACAATGGCAAGAACTTTCCCACTCTCTTTCATATTGGTCTTTTCCCTCTGACATGGTCAAATAGATTTAGATAATATAGTATTTTAACTAAAATGTGCAGCTGAAGTGTACATTTGGAGGGGAAAATAGTTTTGAGCTTAACATTATGGGGGTTCATAATAAGTACCAGAGTGAGAAAGAAGCCTCAAGAAGGGAAACCAGTGGTTCAAAGTCAATCTCCATTATTACTGTCCATTTGGTCTTGGGCAAGTTGCTTATCATCTTTGAGCTCAGTTTCCTTACCTGTAAACTTGCCCCATGCATAATTATAGGATTGTTCTGAGGATCAAAGAAGATGCCTTGAAAGCAGGGGATAAACTGAAAATTCCACCTTTACTGATATTTTTATGTAAACCATTAAGATAGTAAGATTTTATAAGCTGAAACTAGTCCAAAATGGAGGCCTTTGGTATTACCTAGTATTTTAAGTGAAAAATTATAAATCTGAGTTATTTTACACTTACGCTAACTTTTTCAAGAAAATTTGCCTTAGCCTAATTTCCCTGGTGTCCTGCAGTTATCACCATTTAATCTGTTCCCTTTCTCATATGCCATAGCTTTAGCTTAAAATTTCCAAATTACATCATATGTTATTCACCAGCACAGAATTTACCTAAATACACAAGTTCCATTGACTGGGAAAAGCTGCGTTGATTGAATTTCAATGAGCCCAACGAGAAGGCATAGAGCTGCTGCCTGTCTCAGGGGATTTGAAATGATTGTACTGGGTTTAGTTCTACCCCCCCCCCCCCACCACCCCATTCAATTCAGCGAGAAAATTCGGCACAGATTAACTCAGAAGCTCTGTTCTTAACACAGGTACGACTGGGGAGGCAAGCCTCAGTCTTTCCATTTGGAAATGAGAATAACACTGTTGTACCTTTACTGCAGGAGTGTTTTCAGGATAAATAAAATAACACACACTGAGGCTCATAGATCTTAAATCTGATCAGGGACGAGGTACAGACTAACACAGGCTTGTTTCATGTGTGTTCTTTTTTTTTTCTTAATTTTATTTATTTATTTGACAGAGAGAGACACAGCGAGAGAGGGAACACAAGCAGGGGGAGTGGGAGAGGGAGAAGCAGGCTTCCCACAGCGCAGGGAGCCCGATGCGGGGCTCGATCCCAGGACTCTGGGATCATGACCTGGGCTGAAGGCAGACGCTCAACGACTGAGCCACCCAGGCGCCCCGTTTCATGTGTGTTCTAATAAATAATGACTGTGCCTCCCACCACGGGTTTGTAAATCCAGAGGCATATATTTTATTTGCAGATTCAACTGGCTAATTTCAGCCCAGACTATTGGGTTATCCTATAAATCTGAATTGTATTAAAGTAATACATTGTAAATAAACAAGGGGAAATAGTCATCTTCTCTAGTAATCAAATGTAACTAAAGGAAGTCTGAGTTATTTTCTTCTTACTGAATTAGCAGGAAAACAAACCAACAAACTCACAAGTCCCCAGTGAGAACAGGGCATGTACTTACAGTTGCGGTCACTAGTTACACGCAGTGGTGTGAGTTAGGGCAGCACTTACCCAAACCACCTAGCCACCTCTGTCAAGAACAGAATGGTCTATTCTGAAAGACTAAACAGCAGCTGAACTGTTCTCGTGAGCAAGTCTCTGTCCTGAGATAGAGACTGTAGTAGATTGTTTCCTTTAACTTAAGGGATGTAGCCACCAGATGCAATGTGTTTCTGGAATGAGAGCCAGTGTGGAGAAACCAGCTGTGAAGGACATTAAGGGCCCAAGGGGGGGAAACTCAAGTATGGAATGAGAATGGGATGATATTAACAATTGGTATTAATTTTCTTGGCTGCGATGATGTTATTTTGGCCATGTAGAAAAACGGTTTTTTCAGGCATACCTCCTGAAGTATTTAGGGATTGAATTCCATGATGCCTGTGATTTACTTTAAAATACTTCAGCAGCTTAAAATGCATAAAAATGAACCAAAATATAACCTAGAAATTCTATGCCTAGGAATTTTTCCTAAGGAAATAATTTGAGAAAAATGGATTAAAAATATATAAAGATCATTATGCATAACAGCAAAGAGAAATAGCTTGAATGGCTAATAGAGAAAATTAGGTTAATTAATTTAATTAAGATTAACCCAATAAGCTATCAGCCGGTCATTTCAAAACAACAATTAGAGGGGCGCCTGGGTGGCTCAGTCGGTTAAACATCTGACTCTTGATCTCAGCTCAGGTCTTGTTCTCAGGGTTGTGAGTTCAAGCCCTGTGTTGGGCTCCACGCTGGGCATGGAGCCTACTTTAATAATAATAATAAGAAGAAGAAGAAGAAAACAATAGCAAATTTGGAAAATTACTTATAATACGACGCTAATTTAAAAAATCAGAATATAAAATTGTGGGTCTTATTTGCACATTGTTATACACATGAGAAGTTGTATTAAGGTGGTAGGATTAAAGGTGTTTTGTATTCTTCCTTAGTGTTATCTTTTCAACAAAAAAATTGTAAATGTAAACAAGTACTACTAGAAAATAATGTCAGGTGCTGAAGTTGGAGGTTTTATAGATGCCCCGCCTCAAAGACCAATCCACAATTACTCAGATGTTTGATTCTTCTTTCTTTAGGACATCCCGGAGCACCCGGGGAGCAGGGCTTGCCCGGTGTTCAGGGGCCCACGGGACCACCAGGAAGGCCAGGACTACCTGGTACCTCTGGACCACCAGGGTGTCCAGGTATTTTGAAAGGAGCCTGGAAACTTCCAGAGCACTCATCTATCTTCTAGTTTATCAGAAAGAGCCAATCTTCGCTTAGACTGCCACTTCCCAGACCTGTGACTTTGGACAAGTCACTCACACTTACTGTTCCTCACCCATAGGGTGGAGCCAGTCCAGTCCCAGTGGGTTGGTCTGGGAGTAAACCAAGACAACACCTGTTAAGAGCCTAGCAAGGTGCCAGGCACAAACTGAGGGGCTGACAGATAAAAGCTCCTTTCCATCCCTCCTTAATCCCCCTGCTACTCAGATGCTGGTCTTCTTTTCTCCTTTAGACTTAAGGCATATATCACATTGACAGCACAACATGTTAATGGCTCCTCGTCTTGCTGATTCAGAATACAGTGAAAGTTTAAGATTATAAATGGCGGCTGTAATCTCTCCAAAGTGATTTGCTGCATCTGAGGTTAAGTGTGCTTTTCTCTCTAGAGTTAGGAGGTCTAGGGGAAAGAAGTGACGACAATGTTCCCAATTACCCATCTGTTAAGCACAGATGACCTTCCCCATTAAGGTAACTCCTATCTCATCTGGGTGTCTGCAGAACCTCTGTCTCGTCCTCAGGTAATCAAGGGGTGCCTGGGCTGCAGGGACCTCCAGGAGAAATGGGGGATCCTGGGCCAAGAGGCATGATGGGAGATCCAGGGGCACCAGGTCTTCCAGGAAAAAAAGGTGAGTGGAAAGGAAACCCCACCCATGAGGGCAAATCGACAGCACCTTTCTTGCGCGGCATGTCACCTCGGTTGGTCATGGCTCCTTCCTCTTTCCCACATGCGCATTAACTCCTTCCTCTTCTTTCTCACTAGGAGCTTCAGGCAGCGCATCTAGGCTCTCCACCCACCTTCTACCAAAATATGGTGCTGCCTTTGTTGAGAACATTTCCCCCGGTGTTTTCCATAATGTTCAGGCCTCTTCACTTACTCTCTCCTTGGATAGTTGAGCTCCTATTCTGTTCCAAATTGTGTGTTAGACACTAGGTGTACAATTCTGAAGAGCATAGACATTGTTCTTGCCTTCATGGATCTCACAGTGTAGTCGTGGAGACGTATTAAAAACTTACGTGTAAATAAATCTACATTTACCAGTTGTGATAAGTGGAAGGAAAAGAATAAAAATGCTGTGGAGAAAGAGTTACCAATATTCTTTATCTTTGTTAGATTAAAAAAACATTTTTTCCTGGTTAAATTTTTCGTCTTTTGGGTAATAGTAAACTGGTTATAAGTTTGGTTACAATAATACCATATATCCTATCGTATGTCATATTTATTTGTTGTTAACAGAGCTTCATGCCCCTCCATTCCTCCATGGTCCTTACTCCTCTTCAGTCCATTTCTTCCATTTTAGGAAAAAAAAAAGTTTTTCCTGGGTACTTTGTACATACTTCTAGCATAGCACCTATGTCCTATACATTTGTATGTTTAGAAGTCTTTCTCACCAAGTAGAATATGCTTTTTATATCCTTGGCACCCAGTGGATACCCAGTAAATCTCCTGGATGGTTATTGTAAGTATTTTTAAATTTGTGAATAAATTAATAGAGGACTGGACAAGTAGAAGAACGGACAACTGAGCTAGTAGCTATGAAGTTGAGGGTCTCTGCGTGAATAAGCAGATGAAGGGTCAAGCCTTACTTAGTAGATTTCTATAAGTAAGCTCCACTATCTCCTTCTTCCTCCCTTTAGCTTCTGCTAGTTGACTCATCCATGTACTAAATTTTGGCCAAATGGAAATTACCTCCACTTGGAAGAGTTGGAAACCCCTCCTTTGGGCTTAATTGTTTTATTGTTTTGAAAATCCAAATTAAAATTTTCCATGCTTTCATCTCTTCCCTCACCAAATAGCTTTCAAATAATGTCTGTTTTCCAACACGCAGTACTGTGGTATGTGTGACATGGTACTGTTCTGCAGAGAGGGAGGCTCTTTATTTTGGAGCGCTGGTACCTTATGTATTTCCACGTGCCCAAATATTACTTGGCTTCTGGTACCCATAACTAAACAAGACATCTTTGTACTGTTCTTCTCCCTCTTCACTGGCATTTAATGCAAAGTCCAGTGATTTGTGATAAATTTAGGATCTCAAGCAATGCCATAATTTTTTTATGTTAAAAGTTTATCTAGTGACTGTGGCTGTTTGCTGTCCCTGGAAAATCCCTGTAGCCTCGGTGGGGTGTCCTTGGACACTTTTTTGAGTGTCTGGAAGATGAAATTGGTAAAAACCCAAAAGAAAACTTTTCCATTATTAACCACTCCTACTGCATTTCCCCTTCATCTCACCCTCCTAGTTTAATAAAAATAGCAAGGATTTTCGAACCTCCCAGTGCCATAACAATAGACACTCGGTTTGACTAAAATGACTAGACTCAGGTTGCTATTGTTGATTTGTCCTGCCCTTGAATTAGTTTGCATTTATCACATAATTTCACTATGATATGTTATTTAAAAACTAATAGCCAATGACATTGATTAATAGAATTACTCGAAAAATAATCTCCAACCACATTGGAATTCTGTGCTATAAAATAATGAGTTTGTCAAGAGAAGGTGAGGCAATGACTCTGTCAACCCAAATATTCACCCCAGCACACAGACGGATGCTGTAATGGTGCTTCCTGGCCATGCAGTGACACTGTGTCTCTGCAAACTGCCCAGTGAACGACCGGTCTTTAAAAACCAAACCAAACCAAACCAAACCGTGAATACATTCCTAAAAATGAAAACGTCCACAATATAAATCCATTGTTGCAGTTTATCATGCTGATATAAAAATGAACTGCACTCCAGCAGAAACACTTTGATCTGAGAAACTAAATATTTGAAGTATGTTCTAAATAAGTCAAGGGGACTGATTATCTTGTTTGAACAAACCAGCTGTTGAACTCCAAAGTTGTTTGCTCTGCTGGAATGGGCCATATGGATTCTGAGTCCTGCTTGTGTTCAGTCAGATTTAAACTCTAACTTAAACGTATGCTAAAAATGGCTTGATTTGTAGATTTAAATTAATTTCAAGCACATATGCCCTCTAAAGGGAAGACACTCGGTTCTTCGTTGGGCGTTCATGAGATTGGAATAATGAAAACCTAAAGACAACTGTCTGCTCCGTGGCAACAACCATAACGATGTGGATTGGGGTGTTTTGGCTGGTGGCAAGCAAAATGTTTCCTCAGAAATAAAGGCACCTCGAAATGTCATTTATCTGGAAAGAAATGCCATGCATGTTACAGCTGTGGAAATCATGGGAATGTCCTCCCCTCTTCTCCACTGAGAGGAGTGTCCTTCCGGCCCTGCCCCCACAGCACTTACCGCTCCTGAAGTAATTGCCCATTTGTTCTGTCAGGTCAGGGACTGCTTCTCTCGTGCTCTCCATTGTCTTGTCAGCAGCTGTCCCCGAGGACATTTAGGGACAGAAGCTCTGGGGCTTAGGAGACCATATCTTTATGCTCTTGTGCCTCTCCTCAGTAGGCACTCATGTAGTTTCTGAACTAAAAATCATGTATATCTTATTTCAGAATCTGTTTTGATACGTGTTCAACTGTGTTCGACCATTACCTGTAGTTACATGGGTCCCTTTCCCACCGGCTTTCACGTTCGGGTGACCAGCTGTCCGGGTTTGCCTGGGACGGAGGAGTGCCTCAGGATGCCAGAACTGGGCAAGTCCCCCATGCGCAGGGACGAGATGGTCACCCCACTAAAGTATAAACCTGTCAAAGGCCACCGGGGATAGAGTAGCATTTTCAGGCTTTAGGACAAAAGAAAACCTCAGTGAGAACCTAGTCTCTGAGTGGGCTGGCTCACTGGGATGGAGGCTGTGATTCCCATTAGGGCTGGAGCAGGAGTTTTGATTCTCTGACTGGGGGGAGCATGCCCTGTCCCATGAGCATAGGGAGGTGCAGCCTTACGTGAAGGGTGTTAGGCAGGAGGACGGCCAGAGAAGTGAATAAAAAAATCCTCATTACCAAGGAATGTGCTTTGTTAGCCTAATTGCCTCTCATCTGCACTGTATATATTTTATGCATGAACAACTTTCTGATTTAGAGATGGGATTGATAAAAAGCTTTCAGTAAAAAGGAAAAATTGCCCTTAAAATCCTACCCAGATGTAGCCGCATTCGATTTAGAAAGATAACATTGGGTCAGATAAGGGTCGGCCAGTTCAACAATGGTGAGGGCCTGGGCCTGTGACAGCCCGGGATCTGGATGCGTTGATGGGACAATGGAGAGTTGGCAGAAGCTGAGACATTCCACCCCAGCTAAGTCCCCCAAGCCATCAATCTTGGTGGCTTCAGCTGGAGATCAAACACATTGAAATAGCAAAGTGTTCTCAAAAAATTTACTGTCATTTCAGATAGATTGCAATAAATATCCAGATTTGGCAGATGAAGAAGGTCTGTGTGTTCTTTTGGTGCAAACTTGAAACACTGGCTCATTAAGAGGAAAGAGGATTGAAAAGTAAACTCAGCCAGAACTGTGAAAAGTGGTTAGGAAATAAGAGCTTTAGGAAGAATAAGGGTGCATTACCATTTTTTTTTTGGGGGGGTGGAGATGAGAGAATATAGCTCATTTGCACCAATCTAAAGTTTGAGTTTAAAAATAGAATAACTGTCCGTTTCAAGTACTGATAATAAATAGAGAGGAACTAGCTTAGTGTTCTCTCTTTTAGTAAGAGGCCCACAGAGGACTTGCATTAACGAATAGATAATAATTAGCACTTAAATTATTTATACACAAATGGCTGCCTCTAACTTAATCAAATCTTATTCCTCCCCTAAATCTACCAAAGAACATGTGACATGCAAATAGACATTGTACCCCCTCCTTCTGACAGCTTTCTCTCCACCCATTCACGTCCCAGCCCTCCCAGTGGTAAATTTTCTCCTTCACTCATTCATGCATCCACTCACCCATTCAACCAACACATACTGAACACCGACTGTGTGTCAGGAGACATGCGAAATGGGGGCATGGACTAATAAGACTTAATCTTGCGCTCAATTAATTTACCCAAGTAATCCAGTCACCCGAAGACTTGCTTGTTGCATGGTGTGGGACAGGCACCAGCAGAAGGGCATCGGGGAGCTCTGTGGGTAGCTGAGGGCCATTTGATGTTTGCTAAGGCATTACGATTGCAAAGGACAGGGATGTGGCCCTAAACTGAGTGACAGGCTGGCTGGCTCTCAGCCTCCGATAAAGATCCACTAATGAATTTGGAAGGTCATCAGGTTTGGCCAGGGGCTGGGGAGAAGATTCTTTCCCCCAAACCAGTGAGACGAGACATGTATGAATCACCTGGCGGAGGGCTCAGCTCCCGGAAATGTTCTGTATGTCTCCGTCGTCTGCCTTCTTCCTCTCCTCCCTCTCTCCTTCCCTCTTTCTGGCCCTTGTTTCCTTCCTCTACTCCCTCCCTATAAATCTATACACTTATATAAGTATCTATATGTTATAAATGTATAGATACTTTAAGCATCTATATATTTATGACTCTATAGATTGATAGGTGTTCAGTGTTCACGTAAAGTCAGGCTGGTAGATATCTCCTTGGAGGACTAAACTGATGCCTGGCAGAAGGAGATCATACCTAATTACAGAGACTGGAATGTTCAGTGATCGTTATGAAATAAATTTAGTTTCAGTAAAGAGACATCAGAGTTTGTTTTGAAAGAAGTAGTGGCAAAGAAAGAGCGCCAACCAAAGTGGCCCTGCAAGCTTCTTCTTTCTGAGTAGTATGGTACTTGAAGAAAAGTTAGGTAGGCCATGTATTCCCCAGTTTGTCACAGACCCCCACCTGTCCTTATTGTTTTACTACATTTACTTGACTAGATCCCGAGGAAATTAATATCTACAGACCATGGTGGAGTGGACAGGTCCTGAGCCTGGGAGGAAGGAGGCCTGGGTTTGCTATAGTCCAATCTCTTTTCTCTCGTCTAGGATGAGTTCATTGTCATAGAACCGAAGGTCCCTTCCTACACCAAGATTCAGTAATTCTAGATTGTATCTGGATAGAGAGAGAGATGGTCATAAACCAAGAGAAGTGTGTTAAAAGCAAAGAAATGTGTTAAGCTGTCTTGCAGAAAATGTCCGTCAAATGAATGTGTTAAGTAATAACCACTGGCATGGATTTAGCCTTGATAATGACATCTAGATAGTGCGACCTCATGGCTCCCGCCTGGAGAATCTGTCAGTGGCCATCAGCGAATTGTCCCTTGGGTGGTGCCTGTGCCCGGTGGCCGGTGAACTTCAACACTGGGTCTTCCCTGGTGGGTCACAGGCCTGTGATGTGTTTCAGGTCCCTCCGGGTCACCTGGTCTGAACGGCTTGCATGGTTTAAAGGGTCAGAAAGGAGCCAAAGGCGCTTCAGGTAAGAGAAAATCCTTTGCAAAAGATTGAACTGCAGTCAGCAGACTCAGATACTGCTGGTATTCCTTCACTACACAGGATTTGGGGTGCCAAACTAAGAAATTGGCTTAACTGAGAGACACAGTATTGGACTGTTCTTAGTACTGAAGATGACTTCTCTAAAAAGGACCCCTGAGAAAACCCAATTTAAGAAGGAATAGCTGGGTACCAGTGACTTCTGTTGATGTTGCTTGGGATTATCTCTCTGCTAAAAATATTCTGAATAATTGCTTAGGTGGAACTCGATTTTTAAATGTTACAAATAACGGATAGTTGGGAGGTTTTTTCTTTTTGGTATTAAGTATAGTGATGGCAAGTACGACCAGGTGGGTCTAGTGAGTAGTTTTTGCGCCCCCAATAGGCTGCTGCTTAAACAAATGACCTGAACAAGTTGCTGGTATCTTTGCTATCCCAAACAGGCTAATCACCAACAACCGCACTGGGGCTTGTTATGGTATTTTAATGTAGTGCTCGTTTTTTTGCTTTAGTGTCTCAGAAAAACAGCCCCCAATGGACTCAGACACAGAGGTTTGAGGGTGTTTGGGCAGAGGGTTGGATTGTCGCACCGCCGGGCTTGACGCAGTTGCTGGAGAGAGACAGAATCTTGATACAGTGTGGAAGGCCAAGAATTAATTTAGGTCACATTGGATTCATTTTAGGGGCTCCTCCACATAGCCTGATAAAATGTGTGCCTCCCCCAAGAAACCAGTGATGTTCTCCCGTTTCAGTGTGACCCGCAATGGTTATTTACATGCCAGTTTCCACCTTAAATTTCAAACCAGTGTATTCATAATTCCTTATGGCTGGATCTCATTTGGTTTCACTCTGGGGTAGAGGTTGGAACGTTCATACGCTGTTGTTTTTTTGGTTTTGTTTTAACCGGGGAAATAACCATAAAACAAGCCTATGGCTGACCTGCGGCTGACCTGCGGTGTGGTGGGGCGAAAGAGGGTATGTAATGGCCGACCCAGGGAGAGTTTAAAGCCTTGGGGCCACCACTGCAGCAGGTGGTCGGTCTCAGCACAACCCGCTGGGTCCCTGTCACCCCGTCTGGAAGCAGTTCTTTTCCAGGAGCCACAACAGGGACAAACAGGGAGAAGACGCAGTACTAATGCTGTTTCCCTCGCCAAGGTTTGCACGACGTGGGCCCACCTGGTCCAGTGGGCGTACCCGGGCTGAAAGGGGAGACGGGAGACCCAGGGAGCCCGGGAATTTCTCCCCCAGGCCTTTCTGGAGGAAGAGGTCCCCCCGGCTTCCCAGGTAAGATGCAGCATGCTTTGCCCCTCTTAATAACTAAATCAGAACCTTCCAAATCTGAGGAGGCTGACATCTGAACACGTCCCTCCCCAGGGAGACCTGGATCCCCTGGTCCTGCAGGTGCCGTAGGAAGAGCTCCTAAAGGGGACATTCCTGACCCAGGTCCCCCCGGAGATCAGGGACCTCCTGGCCCCGACGGTCCAAGAGGTATGAGAAAATCCTGGCAAAGGATGGTGACACCCCCTTCCTTAGATGCTGCCAGCTCCGGAGGGACGTCGGACGGGAGAATGGCAGAGCTGAAGCCCCTTAGCAGCCCTGCCAGGCGGGCGGATGGGGAAGGCGGGAGTGTGGGTGGTGCAGGGATGTCAGCCCAGCCCGGGCCGGGGCTCTCGGGCACCAGCTCTCTGGGGATGCTCTCTGACCCTCAGCGGGCCTCTCCGGACGCTGGCGCCAGCGCGGTGCTGAGCATGAGGGTGCAGAAGCCTCCGGCCGGAGGGAATCTCACGCTGCCTGGTGGTCTCTGGCACCGGCCATGAGAACCACCGCCCACCACCCCCCCCACCCCACCGCCCCGGCCAGTGTGACTGTGTTGGGACTTGGCGCGCGCGCACACACACACACACACACACACACACACACACACACACACACAGAGTCTCTTCAAGTGCTGCTCCCAGTACATGTCGTTCCTCTTGGCACTTGGCAGGGATGAAGCCCAGCAAGGCAGTATTTCACAGAGTGGGGTCTGACCGGAGCCGCCTGGGGCCTGGGGCCTGGTGGTGCCGCGGGCTTTTGCAAAGGGCAGACGATCATGTTGCTAATAGCTCCTAGAGCTCCTTCAGACAGACCCAACCCACTGCCTTTATAGCTTTAGGGTTTTGGTCAGGGTGGGCTAAAAGATTATGGGATTCTGTTTGATGCTGGGAAAAATTAAAATGCTCAAAAATACCCTAGGCAGTGTAGAAGCTAAGTAGGAGTAGAATTTGGGCTCATTTCCTGGGTGTAGACCCCTGTTTTCAAATAGGATTAAATATTTAATTGAGTGAATATTCCTTTTCCATCAGCCAGATTTTGCTCAAAAGCCTGTCATCTATGTGTGTGTTTGCCTGTCCATCCATCCTTCTACCTATCATATTAAAGCAATGGGATGACTATGCAGAGAAAAGCCATAAACCCCTGCTTCCAAAAGGGCTGGCTTGGAAGGGAAGGAAGGCTTTCTGTAGGCTCATTTGTCTAACGGTTACTAACACCATTTCCACCGTCTCCCAGCTTGGGGGCTCCGTGAGACAATCCCTGTTTCACTTCCCATATTGTTGACTCTTTTATTCTTCTGATTCCCTCCATCTCTTGCTTGCATTCAGTTACTTTTCTTAAGGAGCTCTCAGGTAGACTGCAGTCACCTTTGTCTTTGACTGAAAGAAACTTTTTGCCTCCTCCTTGTGGTTAGGAGTGCCCGGGCCCCCAGGCCCCCCTGGGAGTGTCGACCTTCTGAAAGGGGAACCAGGAGACTGCGGTCTGCCGGGGCCTCCTGGTCCCCCGGGCACGCTCGGCCCTCCAGGACAAAAAGGCTTCCCAGGATGTGATGGAAAAGATGGCCAGAAAGGTAGGAAAGCACCTTGTTCCTTAAGTAGTGCCTGAAGACTTTTGTTATCTTGCCCTTCAGGGTCTGGGGTTCTGCACCCCTGGGAGGTAACTTCATTTCCTATGGTTGTAGTCACTGCATTTCCAAAGGCCCTGACTTTCCCAAAGAGTCCTCAAGTTTGGGGAACAGTTGGACAAGTGAAAAGAAGAAACACAAGCTCATCTTCAGCCCCTAATAACATACTTTAGATAATCTTCTAGACCAGAACTAACAACAGAAATAAAACACAAGCTATGCACGTAATGAAAAGGCATGGTAGCCCCATTTTAAAAAGTAAAAAGAAATAAGTGACATGAACTTTCATATTTCCCTTAACAGAATATATTCAAATATTCTGCATTAGTTTATCATTGTTGATATAAATTACAAGTGCAATGACCAGGGCTGTTTTACAAACTAGTCCCTCTCCCAGCTAAGACACTCCTCCTCCGCGGCTTTGAAGTCTGGTTCGAGTCTCATGCATACAGGACAACCCAGTTTGGACGTGCCAATTTCAAGTGTTGAGTAGCCACAATGCGGTTCGTGGCTTCTATACTGGACAGTTCAATTTTAGACTGCTGACCTTGCTCTTTTATTTTCATGAGAGAGTCTCCTTATTGGATTCCCCCAATTTTTAAAGCCAAAATATTTTTTAATTCACTTTTGCCTCACTGCTAATATTTGGGGATGTTAGCTTTTGGTCACCAGGTTTCAGAGAATTATTCAGTTCATAGAACTTTTTTGTTGAAAATGGACCAATAGTTACCATTTTATTCCTTATGTCATAGATAAGGAAGCTGGATAGAGAAGAAACTGTCAAAGTCAGCCCAATAACTGGCACTCTGCCTGACTTCTGAACCGAATGTGAAATAAAGCAAAAGATTAGGGCAAAATGAAGATCAAAATTACCACAAGGCTGCCATGACTACAGTGCAAATGGCATCCCTGTAATGGTGCAGTGCACTACCTGCACAACAGTACACAACAACCCTCTTCAACTTTATTAGCAATAAAATCAATTTTAGAGAATGTGGTTTATATTTGCAGGTATGTGGGCTTCCAATTATCGAACCCCAGAATTGGATAAACATGCAAGCATGCTGGTCACCAAAGGGAAGGAGGAGGCTAGCTATATAACCTTGTTCCTTTCCCAAATAGACACTCCTTCTTCCCAGTTGCTACTCTGGAGAATGAACCTCCACCTGGAAATATTCTTCAGGGTTGGGAAAATAGTATGCAGTATAAGTAACAGCGACCAAGAAAAGGATATACAAGGACTTAGAAATATTGATGAAACCACTAAGCATGCTTCTTAACTCCCATTCCAGTGGGCATATGGTCCAAAGAGTGTTTAACTGTGGAAAGGAGGAGGGCTTTTCTTCATTTTACCTTTTCAGACTTAAACTGGGAAATATTTGGTCTAGTCCACAAACATTTATTAGGTACCTGCAGGAATATAACAGAGAGCAGGTTTAAACAGTCCCCACTCATACTCGGTGTAGAGTTTCATTGTGGAAGACAGACATTCACACTAAAGGACCCATCAATAGAAACTGAGGCAGGTGCTCCGGGTAAGGGACACTCTTCTGTGACAGCACATCAAGAGCAAGTGGAGTTGGGTTGGGGTCCCAGAGAGGGTTTCCCCAAGGAAGTGAGGCTTGGTAGGCATAGAAGAAGAGAAGGAACCGCACGCGTGAGGCGCTGAGTGGATGGCGGGGCTGAAACAGGAGATTGTGAGGAAGAGAGGCAGGAGCTCAGGACCAGGAGGCACATCGTCCCACATGGCCAAGCCCGTCCCCTATTTTCCCTTCACTCCCAGTCCTCTGTCTCCAGAGAAAGTTCAGGGTGACAGGGCTTTTCATTCTATTTTAGTCTTGTCTTGATCATGAAACCATTTTCCTTACTCCTTTTGGCGGACTCTTGTGTTTCCTTCAGACAGAAGCAGCTCTTAGCTTTACGGAAAAAGTGAGAGGCTCCTCTGGATTCTAAGGCTGGCTTTGCCCTGAATTTTGTTGGGGGTGAATCTCTGAGTTCAGTCCACCTGACTGTCACTGTCTTGATATTGCTCGATTCCAGTGCCCCTGTCTTTATGTTCTTTTTAGGACCAAAAGGATTCCCAGGGCTGCGGGGGCCAGAAGGACTTCCTGGGCTCCCCGGGGAGAAGGGTTTACCTGGCATTCCAGGCAGACAGGGGCACCCTGGTCTTCCAGGTAAGCTCCTCATGCCTAATGATCTCACCCAGCAGCCTACAGACAGCCTTCTGTTTCAATATTTACTGTGAGGGTCGACTTGAAGCAAGTCTCAAATTGCCTGCAATTCCTAATGAGTTAAGCTGTATTTATTTCAGGCCTCACTACACAACCTTATGTTTGGTAAACTTATTTAATAAAATTAAATAAAAATATTTATTATTAGAATGAGTAAGTTTGCAGATTAGGAGCTGATTTTACAGAAACATTTCTGAGTTAAATAAATCTGTGTTTCCCTCACACAAGAGGCAAAGGCTGATTTGATTACTGTATGGGAGGACCATATTCATTTCTCTCCCTGAATTCCCACTGATTTTCCTAGATGTTTTATTTAACTTTTTTTGTAAAACACATTAGTTCCTACAAAGACAAAAAGGCTATTCAATTTAAGCTCAGTCGACAGCATGTTTTCAACATAGGGTCAAAATAAGCCAATGAAAAGTTGGAAGGGCAAACAGACATGTGCATTTGAGATTGGCAGAAGTAATATCTTTTGAGATCCTAAACCAATATTACGGTAATGTGGTGTCAGTTCAGAACATTTTGCAATCTCCTAAATTAGTGCTTTAGTCCAAAGAATAAATAAATTGCACTGCTTTATGATGGATCAGAGAACAACACGACAAACAGCTTATACTTGGATTCATCTCATATTTCCTTTCTGTGCATAACCTATAAAACTTGGCTAAATAATATGAAATTTTCAGAAGCCTGCCTATAGAACAGAATTTCTATATATGTAAAATTAGGGTGTATTTGCTGTAAGAAATCAACTCATTTTATATTGTACAAGAGAGCTTCATTTCGCGTTTTTCTAGATGTGAAAGCTCTATTATTAAGTCAGAGCTGTTCTTGTCAGTAACATTGATGTGGACTTAGTTATGTAAATAAGATGCTGTCATTTTGCTCATCATTGATGCCATCCTCAGGTTATTATGTATATTCTCAAATAACCCATGTCACTTTCGTCCTAACTGACAAATTTAAAATCTCTTTCCACCATACGAAAATCGTTGTGTGGCTTCAATTTTTGACTTTGGATCGCTCCAGGTCCCAGAGGTAAGCGCTTTTATAAAATTAGTAATTTCCTCTAAATCTGGCTTCTGTTTATTTCTATACTAGCCTTTTTCACTGTACTTGTGAGTTATACTTTTTACATTTTCATAGATGGGATGCTGTAATTATATGAGGTGTCAGTGCCCTTACTTCCTCATTACAGATATGGTAACCACATATTAGAGCATTCTAAAGCCGAGTCTCATTATAGGTTGTCAGGGTGGAGTAGACACTCAGCTTATATAATTTCAATTCAGGCACAGAGTGTGAGTGTTTTCTCTGTCAAATGCTACGGCACATACCCATGTACATTTCTTTTATAAATTCTACAATATAAATACATAGAACATCCCTAAGATAAGTATCAACAACCTGAAAAGATGGGTCCTTCACACCCAGTAAGGGGCTGTGACAAGGTTCTCCCATAACATCGAAGTCCATTTCCAAGGAACAAATTTCTTTGCGTGTTACAATGAAAATGTTGTTATTCTTTTCAACTAAGTATTCACCACAATGCAGAAACAACATATTATTTCATGTCTGGGGTTTCCAAAGAGACTAAAAAGAGTTTCTTAAAAGAAAAAAGAAACTCAATGAGTGTACACATTTTTGTTCTTTCCAGGCATCTCTTTATTAACCCTAATGAAAATTTGCCCTGATTGCAGGGTCCTTACACAAGAGACACTTTGGCCCCTTTCATTCAGCTTCTGGTTTATTAAAAAGTAAAGAAAAGCAAAATCAGAATTTAAAAAGAATCCTATTTTAAATGTTTCTATTTAAAAATTACAGTTGCAGGATGCCTGGGTGGCTCAGTTGGGTAGGTGTCTGCCTTAGGCTCAGGTCATGATCCTGGGGTCCTGGGATCGAGTCCCGCATCAGGCTCCTTGCTTGGTGGGGAGCCTGCTTCTCCTTCTGCCTGCCACTCCCCCTGCTCATGTGTGCTCTTTCTCTGCCAAATAAATAAATAAAATCTTTTAAAAAATAAAAATAAAAATTAGTTTCATATTTAATGTTTCCACTTCCGTCCTTTTAGTGTCTCTCTGTGTTTGCATATATAAACTCATTTGAAGATAACATTAGAATCCTAACTATGAAGCACCAGCCAAATGCCTACCTTCCCCGCCCCCCCCGTTCCCTTACCTGCTTCCTTTGCTCCACCAGAATCCACAAGGTGATTCAGGGAAAATAGGAAATATTCATATGCATCTCCCTCAAGTCACCGAGAGTGGAAAAGCCACATTTTACATTAAACTGTATGTACTGTAAAAATAAACATATTTTTATACAATATTTTATAAGAGATTAAATTCCAAACAGCTGACAAGGGTTCAAGTCTGTTTTTTTTTTTTTTAAAGATTTATTTATTTATTTGAGAGCAAGAGAGA